CAGAGATATCTATAAAACACTGCTATACTCATTCTCTCTGAACAAACAAGCTGATGGATGATAAATTCAAAAGACAAATAGAATAGAATATTTCAGTTGGAAGTGACCTACAAAATGTTTGAATAAGTTGTATTTACATAATTATTCAAATTTGAAAAGTATGTCATGAAGGAAGAGAAATATTATTATATATTATATTATTATATTATATTATTATTGAGCTGTGTTTGGTATTGCAAGCTAAGTAACAGTATGGTGAGAGGTAAAACAAGAGAAAGGGCAGAATGAGCTTTACTGTCAGATCGTCAGTGAGAAGAAAAAAAAAAAAGAGAAGCAGTAATGTGCCAGATCACCTCTATACTGACACTTGAAGACACTCTACCTGAGTATATATCTTGACTAATGTTACCTGAAACTCAGTGAGGTTTTCAGAAGAGACAGGAAGAAATAGGTGCATTCTTGACGTTGTTAATGATTCAGTCTGACAAATGCCGCTACTGTGCTGCTGAAAAGGAACTTGTCATTGGTACCATTTCTTTGGAAGCATTCATTCTGCATAAAAAGCTAAGTATACTGACAGCAAATCCTCAGGCGAGCAAGCAGCTTTTCAAACCCAAGCACAGAAAAAGATGTTCCAGACTTCAAATGTAAATTGTGTAAGATAAATTAGAACTTAGAGGTTCAGAGTAAGCTACAATATACATAGGAACACAGCCATAATTATGCAAATTTGAGGATACATGATCAGTGGTTTCCCAAGAAACAGAATGTGCATAGGAAACTCGGTAGGAAAGAAAGATTAGGGCAGCAGATGAAAATCAGAAGACAGGCACATCATCAAATGTAAACACCTGAGGAATATGAAGAGAGAAATAAATGGACATATATGAGTAAGAATTAATTCTGATTGCAGGACAGACTAAGAATCCATGGCAAGAAAAGAGTTTGAAATAGGAATAAGTGGTAGGATAGCTGGAGAAAATCAGAAGCAGAGAACCAAACTAATTTAGTCTTACTACTGGCTTGACCACAGAGTGGTCTATGTTATTGAATGACTTGAAGTGATTCAACAGTAACAGTAAGGCAGTCATTGCTCTACAACACAAGCTCATAACAGTTATTATTTCTGTCAGTTCTTTAAAAATGTTTATTTGTGCCACAACTTACAGCATGAACAGCTGAATGGCTGCTTTGCATCTTTCATTAGTGCCTGTATTCAGTCATTCTATATTAAACATTTTCACAGAATTCCATTAATTTTAAGGTCAACCCTTTATTCCATCATTTCAATATTCTAGTCAGGTTGGATGTATAAAAAAGGAGGAAGTTTCTGAATAAGACAAAGATATTGTTAAACAAAATTGTATTTCAGTAGCCATTAAACACAAACACAACACTATCCCTATCATCATCATCAACTCTTACATCCAATTAAAAAAACATCTATTGAATCAGCCCGAGAACAAATTCATACTGGCATAAGATGAGAGAAATGTGCAACTTGAAAGCTAAATCACTGTTATAAAAAAGAAAGTCTACACATATCTTTCTCCTCATAAAATTAAATTATATATACAAGCATTATTGTGCCATGATTTATTATTAATTTATTATTAAAAGTAGCAATTGGGCTTGTTAGCCCATGGTCTCTCCTTTAACTATATCAACATCCTTTTCTTTTTTCCCCAACTAATTACAGCATCAGTTTTACCCTAATTAGTTAACAACTGTCAATTAAAGAAGAACTGTGAAAGCCTGGTATTCTACCAAAAACATTTCCAACATACAATATACTTGACCAATGTTCTCTTTCAACATAATGAGAAAGAACAAGTATCCGAAGCTTTTAAGTGCTGGCATTAATTGCAAGGATGCTAGCCAAATTCCAGATCACCTAGTTACATTATGCTTACTTGCACCCCCTCTCTACACTAGTCTTCATTTTATATCTTAAAAATATAACTGAACAAAACTGTTAGTGCACAATAGCTGTTCTAGTTCTCAAATAAGAAAAAAAAACAAAGGCAGCTGCATCTCAGTAGCAGCCAAAAACCAAAAGGATTCTAATTACATTACATACGTTCCTTACAAATGCTAGACAAAAGCTACAGTGAAAGAACATAAGACAAATGGTGCACAACTAATGAAAGTTTATTGAACAATAAAGACATAATACTAACGGATGAGGTCTTGTGAGTATTTCAAATACTACTCAAAATGTATCAGGCCATTGTATATAAAGTAATGCATTCATAAAATGATAAACTCACGTTTTGTAACTGTCTGGAAAACTCTGGTCTTGGTTTGTATCTCACAGAAACACTATGCCAGAGACTGAATTCAACTATCCATGACAAAAATGAATCATCTGAATTTTACTTACTACTTAGCTGCCCTTTAAAAGAAGAGTAAAAGAATAAAAGTGGAGAAAGCTTTCATAAATCCATACCAAGCACATGACCATTCTGTGAAGAAAAGGATGACTACAAGAAAAACGTTAACATAATTTAAATTCTAACTATATTATGACACATGTGTGTGGATGTGGGCGATTACTGTGATTGACTGGAAACATCCTTTGCCAGTATGTTTTACATACAATTTCCTAAGGCAGAGAAATAGTGAATCAAAATTTCAAGGCTCTGTTCAAGCAACTGAACTAAGGCAATTTTTGTTGCCTTGATCCCCTTTGCTCCATCCCTAATGGAACCCTCTTAAAGGGGTTAGCTAGCTATCTGTACCAGTCACATTTCTTGTCTCAATTCCACTCTCTAATCTTCAACGTTTTTTCACCCCTTGCCTACACTCTTTCCCAGCTACTTCTAACTACTACAGATACAGTATGCCAGAATACTCACTTTTCTGATGGAAGAAAACATACCACACAGGTATTAAAGAGAGATTGATAATAAAACCAAACAAAAATTATTAAGAAAAATAAGTCGCTCAAAAAATGGGTAATCAATTCAGTAGCATCACAGTGACTCTTCAAAATAAAAATGCCCTTAATTTTCTATTCCTTTGTTTTGCAAACTTGCTTAAAGCTGTATCTACCTCCCCGTAATTTACCGTGTCCTTAAGACATGTATGTACTCAGTATTCAGAGAAGTTCTAGTAAACTTTCTACTTCCTTTATTTAGCGTATGTGAATTTTCATTCTGTCAGGCAGTTTGGTGCTTTATTTCCATCACTCGCACTCAGCTTTTACTGTTTTGAAGCTTTCTGGATAAAACATTCCTTTGCTCTGGAAATGGATAACCTTAAAGGCATAGAATCTCTTCAAGAACTTTCAATGAAAGACAGTAACTATATACACTTGAAAAAAAAAAAAGGCAGGGGAGGGCTGCTTCAGTAAGTCTTTAAAATTCTTACAAATGTAATCAAACAGCATCAATATTTCAGACATTATTCAGTATTATATGCCACTACTCACTATGGCAGATAGCGACTCCCGACAAATTATACTGGAGACACTGAACTCTTATTTGAAGCTGAAAAATTCTTCAGAACTTGGCTTAAATGTGGAATTGCAATAACTGAACTAAATGGAACCATATTGTCTTAGATACAGCAAGCAAGTTACGGTTCTGTGCAATAGGTTAAATTATGTTCTTCCTGTTGCCAGCATGGAAAATAATCCAAACATCAGCTGTAACACTATGCTTGTTCCTCATACTGGAAGCATTTTGCTCTGTTTCTTCTTCACAGCATCAGAACTTCTTCGCAGTTCTCTTGCCTTAATCTTATCCAGTAATTTAGTGAGGTTTATTCAAGTTAAACCTTCCTACTAATAATCCACTTGGCAAACAGCACACCCACTTAAGAGTATTTTCCTGCGCACAGCATACCTGTAGTTTTCCAGACTGCATCACACATTCTCATCAGTGTTTTAACATAAGAGATACTTGTTTAAAATACAAATAGGCTACTTAAGCAGTAATTGCCGTTCTTGTATATATATTGTATGTACCCACATTAGCGTTACCATTGTTTGTACTACAACTACTTAAAGTGTAGGAATTTTTCTTTTTTTTTTTACAGCACATTCACATCTTGGCATTCTTCATGTAGACAATAAAAAGAGCAGAATATGCAATAGGAACTACAGTTTCCCTCCAGAGACACAAACCCCTAGCCCCAAAACAGGGAAGAGGAGAGAATATTAAGATGAGCAGTAAATGTACATATAAAATACATCTATTACACACTTACTGGAAGCAAGATATCACTTAAAACATCAGCTCAATCTGCAAGTCTGTTGCCTAATGCTCTTGCTTAAAAATGAATCATAGAATGGTTAGGGTTTGGAAGGACCTTAAGGTCATCAAGTTCCAACCCCTCTGCCATGGGCAGAGAAGCCTCACACTAGACCATGTCACCCAGTGTCCAGCCTGGCCTTGAACACTGCCAGGGATGAAGCATCAGAACTACCAGAGTGCTGAAAGCAGTGAGCAGAAAACACAGCTTCAAAATACACAAAACAATGGAATTCTTCATGTAATGAAGGGTAATGTAGTTTATTCATACAATGGCTGGTTAAGATAAGGAACTCCTTACCACAGACCACTGTCTATATTAAAACATTTACACAAATTCAAAAGCGTATGCACATGTTCATGGAATAAAACATTAAGTGCTCTAGATCATGTGGATGCAGGAAGTCCTTCAGCACAATCAGTGGTGGCTGGGAGAATGTTCTGCAGGGTGTCTCAGTATCACAAAATCGTGATGGTACGTTAATAGATCTTAATATATGATTCCCCAGAATTTGTTATTGATCATTGCCAGAGACAGGAGACTAGGCTGGACAAACACATGCTCTGAACCAATCTATGGGGTGATCAGGTATTGGAACAGGCTTCCCATGGAAGTGGTGGAATCACCAGCTCTGGAAGTGTTCAAAACCTGTGTAGATGAGGCTCTCAGTGACATGGATTAGTGGTGGACTTGACAGTCCTGGGTAGAGGTTGGAGCTGATGATCTTGAAGGTCTTCTCCAACCTAGTTGATTTTATAATTCTGTAATACAGCCCTTGTCTTGTGGCAACACACAAAACCAAGCAGGAGTCAGGGCAGGGTTCCAGAATCATGGTGTTCTAAATGTCAGTATGGGGAATGGAACTGAGAGATGTAGCTAACAAAGAACTGTGAAAACGAGTGGTGAGCACAAACCTCAAGATCATGGTTTTCTGTTTAGGGCTTGATCCTCTTCTGTCCTCAATAGAGACATGACGATCCAGAGGTGATGGGAGGAGAGTACCTGTGCAGGATGAATACCATTGAAATTAAATTTCAAAGAAGATGTGATCTGTTGATCATGTCAGAGGGAATAAACAACATTAAGTAAAAGGAAAAATTAAAATACAGAGGGAAAGGTGGAAAAGAAGCCCTGTAAGAAGTGGAAGCTATTTACTGCCTTTGTATCTCCCTAGGAAAAAGACAAGCAAAGAACAAAGAACGTAACATTACCCCAAAATGATACTTGAGCATGTTTGTAAGTGATCTTCCTCATGCAGTAACAAATTCTGGTACAAAAAAGAAACTCCTGAACCCACACATTCTTTCATTACTCTGTAGCAGTTTAGTGCTACTACTATCTGTACGGCTTCTATCTAAGTGCCATTTAAGAATTCATTCAAATTCATTTGACTTTTCTTAATCTTGGTTGTATTAAGATGAAATAATTCCTCGGTTTAGTATCTTGAACATTTAGATGTACTTTGATTGTCCTTTTGTAATAAAACCTAGAATTCTTTTCTAGTTTTTTATGCATACCAATATCATGTCCACATTATTCAAAACTAATATCCACAAAAGCTGTAGGCTTGATTATACCACAAGCTCTTTTTTTTTGTTCTTATATATGCAGTTTCTTTCAAGAGGGCAAAAAGAATGAAATGTAACAGATAATCCCTTGGTACTTCTGTGCTCAACAGATTGCTGTTTGATGTCTTTTATTTGACCATTATAAATACGACCTATAAATTCTATTTTCTTCCAAAGCAAGTCCACAGGAGCATATATAAAATTTGAAATAAACACAGAGTTTTAGGTGAAAAATTCAGATGCATTCCACAGGCCACTATTAGAGTCTAAAAGCACACTGTCCTCTGGAAAATCAGTCTGGAATTTCCAGAACATTCCCAATGGCAGTCCTAGCAGAAAAATAACAAATTAACAGAGCACAGAATAAATAACCTTATTATTTAAAAATATCAGTGTTTTCAGCAAGGGTTGAACTAGTGAAACAGTTACCTCACTAGTTGTCTGCAAGTATTTTCCTTTAAGCAATCTCTGAACTCAGCTTTCACAGTGCAGAACACAGATGTCCTTCCAAGTTCTTAAACTCAGGGAAAGAATGAGTTAAAAATTGATTACTACATTATCCCACCACTACTCAGAATTCTGTTAAGAAAGCTACATTAATTTGTAAAGAGCTAAGTGAGACCTAGTTGGAATAGCAGACAACTACTAAATTTGAGAGGAATTCCACATCTTTCTCACAACTGTAGCTTAAACAAGATTTTATTCCATCTTAGAAGATGGAAGAACCAATGTTATTTATAAACAAAATCACTTATTTAGAATTCCACTGAATATGACAATGAACTTAAAGGAATACATTCCATAAAAAAATCTAAAGATACAGGAAGTACCAGGTTTTCAAAGTCAGAAGTGATATGGAAAGAAGTTCTAAACTCAATATAAACCAGTTCTTGTTTGCATTTTTTAAATCAACATACATTCATGTTAATGACTACTTACACCAACATGTAACTATACATAAATATGCTGATTTCTGGAGCTGAGGAAAGAATTTCATGATGAAGGTACAACAGATTTGTTCTTTGCCCTACGACATACCAGAAACACACTCTGATGATAGATACTCCCACTACAAATATTATATTGAAAAAAACAAAACAAAACCAAGGGGTGTTTTCTTCCCCTAAAGTGTGCGTATTTTTGTGACTTAACATAAAATTTTAAATATTTAAAAGGATTTTTGAACATCTGCCCTGAAAGTACTTTCACCCTAAGTTTCCTGTTACTCGATTTATTCATATGCTACTAATTCTACAATGACCTCTCAAGATATAAATGACTTGCCAGTTATACATTAACTCTTGCAAAACCCAGTAACTTATCTGCATGTGAAGCACACACTCTGTAAAAGCACAGAGATTTAATCTGAAGACTTCTAAAGCAACAGAATCTGTGATATTCCAAGTTGTTATGCCAACTGTTAATCACTGTCACTTTTGGAAATTACTATTAGCTTGCTTTCTGCCTGTCATTAACCACTAGATGCTCATGCTCCCGTCTTTTCTAGATTAAATAATCCTTTAGGATTTTGTTGCACTGAAAGGCACTTGAAAACTTAACTCCATCAACTGCAGATCTGCCTCCAGAGACAGAAACTGGGCAATTTAGATTCCCATGGTATCCATTGCATTTTTCAGATGTAGTCCTCTTCCCTACAGTCTACATTTTTCTAACACGCTCCTCAAACCGGACGCACCCAAACTATACCCAATTACTTCAGCACGATTCTAAAGCAAAGATAACAGCGCAGACAAAAAGCAAAGCACAGGGCCAGCGAGGCTCATTTCAAACCAAGCTCAGACCCCCAAACTGTCTTACCGTAGAGCCACAGGAGCAGCTGTATTGGCGCACAGACGCTTCAGACTTCTTACACAAACACTGCTGTTGAAAAACACCCCCGTAAACGTGTAGCACGCATTCAAACTGGCACAGCTTTCTTCAGCAGTTCTTGCTCTCCCTCCCCCTTTCATACGGTGCCAACAGAGTAATTTGTGCCATTATCTGAATCGATTTGAAGAAAATTACCCTGAATTAGTTTTTTTCTCGTTTCCCTTCTTGCCAGGCTTTCAGCCCGGGACTCCTCCGCTGAACACCATCTGCGCTAGCACCAGAGCGGTTTCAGCGGGGAGCAGCGCAAGGTCGAGGTGGAATGGGGAAGTTTTAGACACATTAAACAAGCAGCGAACCGCAACCAGGAGAAGGCGCTGGGGCAGGCGGGAAGGGCGGCTGAGGCGGACTCCGCGCCGCGCTGACAGACCTCGCAGCAAGCGGCGCGGGACAGCGAAGAGAGCGCCGAGGGGCAAGGGCCGCCGACCGGCTGTGTCCAGCGGGACGCTGCCACCAGCGTCCTCCGCAGGTCAGGGGCAGCCTAAGGGCAGCCCCGCGCTCGCCCGCTCGGCTCCAGGCAGACCCTCCTCAGGTACGGCTCGGCTGCTGCTTCTGCCCTGCCCTACCCTCTCCTGTCTGCCCGCCGGCTGCCGCGCCGGCAGCATGCACACCCCACCGCTCACACCGAGCCCACCCTCCCCCCCATCGTCCTCGTCTGCCCGCCCAATGCACACCTGTCGCCCCGCCCCGCCCACCTGCAGCGCATGCGCAGAGCGCAGCGCGCTCCTCCTGCGGGTGAGCGGCGCCAGCGGGCGGGTGCCGTTACCCGCCCCCCCCACTCCACCCCGCCACCGCGCACGCGAAGCGTCCGGTCGTCGTGGTAACGGGACGCGGTGCCGGTTGTCTGTGGGGCCGCCGCCGCCGCGGGACATGTCTGAGATCTTGTGCGAGTGGCTGAACGAAGAGGTGCAGCTCTCCCGCAGCCTGGGTGAGTGCGGGACCCGCTGCGGTGGGAGCGCGCAGGGGCTCGGGTATATAGCAGGCTTGCCCGTCAGCGCGGGGGGCTGCTTGCCGCAGGGTCAGGGTCGAGGGGGTCCCGCGGCCCAACTCCACGAGCCCTCCCGCTTCCCCGCGTCTAGATACCCCCTCAGGTACATTTTTGACCTTCATGCGTAAGACGGTGACTTTCGAGATGAAGGTAAGTTTCCTTAAGGCGCGAATGCTCCCAGGGAGTATGAGGAGCTCATGCTTCATCTGCTAATAAGGACTCCAGAGAATAAGAGTATTTTAGTATGTTTGCAAAGCAGTTTGCAGAGCCTTGCTTTACATGGCAGGTGTTGTGCTGGCTTTGAAGAAGCATTTCCTGCAAGGAGGGAGCAACTTTCTGTGGAAGAGAAGCGCTTTTGTTTTCATTTGCATTTTTTATTTTTGATTGTGTAAAGCTTATGTTGCAAAATAACTACACTGAAAGCAGATTTATTGGTGGCTTGAAAACTAGTTACTGCTAGATCAACTTCCTAAAATTCCTCTGAATTATTTAATAAAGTTTGGACAACTTTTTAATGAAAATAATAATCTATTGTATTATAATCATTGTATGAAAATTTTTGTTTCTTTTTACTAACAACAAAACCCCCAAACTTAGTTCCAGGATCAATATCGGAAGAGTTTTCTAATGGCTACCTCCTAGGAGAACTTCTACATAAATATGATCTTCAGGATGACTTTGATCAATTTTCACAGAGCAGGTCAGTACATATGGATAACATGTCTGTACAGAAATTAGGCCAAATATTTAGTTTTCAGGTAGGATTGGCTAATGCACAGTGGGAAATACATCTAGAACTTACCAAGATTTGGTACATTTATGAGTAAGTGAAAAGCTACTTGTATTTGACATATGGATTAGCTTCGTATTTCCAGAGAGACTGGTAATTCTTCAAGAAAATTATGCATTTTGATTGAAACAATGATAATAGCAGGTTGGACCAAAAAGTTCTACAGGTTGTGCAGAGAACTGATTCAGAGCAGCCCTGCAGAGAAGGACTTGGGGGTGTTGGTTGATGAGAAAATGAACATGAGCCGGCAGTGTGGGCTTGCAGCCCAGAAAGCCAACCGTATCCTGGGCTGCATCAAAAGGAGAGTGACTAGCAGGTCCGAGGAGGTGATCCTGCCCCTCTACTCTGCTCTTCCGAGACCCCACTTGGAGCACTGTGTGCAGTTCTGGTGTCCTTAACATAAAAAAGGACATGCAACTGTTGGAACAAGTCCAGAGGAGGGCCATGAGGATGATCAGGGACTGGAGCACCTCCTGTATGAAGACAGGCTGGGAAAGTTGGGGCTGTTCAGCCTGGAGAAGAGAAGGCTGCGTGGAGACCTCATAGCAGCCTTCCAGTATCTGAAGGGGGCCTATAGGGATGCTGGGGAGGGACTCTTCACTAGGAACTGTAGTGATAGGACAAGGGGTAATGGATTTCACCTGAAACATGAGAAGTTCAGGTTAGATATAAGGAAGAAGTTCTTTACTGTGATGGTGGTGAGGCACTGGAATGGGTTGCCCAAGGAGGTTGTGAATGCTCCATCCCTGGCAGTGTTCAAGGCCAGGCTGGATAGAGCCTTGGGTGACATGGTCAAGTGTGAGGTGTCTCTGCCCATGGTAGGGGAGCTGGAAGTAGATGATCTTAATCCTAACCATTCTAAGGTGCTATGAATCAAGGATGTCTCTACGACTGGAGATAGCAACACTGTCCTCAGGAGCTGTGTAGAGCTAGGAGTCCAGAGGTACGGTGTAGTGTTGATGGTTACATCTTCACTAAAATGATATTGGTGGAGATGTGTTGTGAGGCTGAGACAGTGTATGCATGCTCAATAAAGGTGATGATGTACGATGGGACAGGGTTCCCAGTACCAACTGGAGCAAATGCTGAGAATGTCAGAGGCCTCAACTCAGATTGCTGTCCAAAGGAGGCATTTCTCCATGATTCAGGCTGTAGGAAATGCCCAGAGTCTTTACCAAGCTTTGGGCAGGGTGTGGTGGCAGCTTTTTCTTCAGAGGTGTGTGCTCGCAGAGGATATGTGTCACAAAGTCAAGCTGCTACAGAAGGAGGTCAGTAGACTGTTCAGCATCAGATGATGAAAAGGATATTGACTGGGTCTTCTCGTGAGACACTACAGATACCAGAACCTGAGCACACAGCTATGCTGAGAGAGGGGCAGGCAGAATCTGTGCTTGTTGGGTTGGGAAAAGATTACTGGCAGCTTGTGACTTCTGGCAAGAGTAGGCATGTTCCGGCTCAAATGATCTGCAGCTGCAGAACAGGGTTACTGTCTTGGTGGCAGATGAGAGGCTGATAGCAATAAAGAATCTCAGCTGGCTCAGTCTGGATCACCCCAGGGCACCAGGAGGATAAGGTGAGGGATAGTAGCTGGATACTTTCTCTTGCAGGAGGTGGAGGTACCTTGTCTGCTGACCTAGGGAGGTCTGCTAGGCAGGGAGGTTTGCTGCTTGCTGGGGGGGTGGGTCAGGGACTGCAGAGGCTTGTCTAGCCCTTATACTGTTACCGTTGCTGCTCTCTTATGTGGGCAGCAAGGATACTGCCAGACAGACCTGGACCATATCAAGAGTGACTCTAGACGCAAAAGTCAAAGGTATGGGGGGCCCAGGTGTTTTTTCCCTTAATTCTGCTGGTGAGGTGGAAAAGCTTGATAAGGACAGATTCTACAGGGTGTGCAGCTGCTGTCAACATCAGGGATTTGGTTTTTGTAGTCATGGGATTCTCTCTGAAGGTGGAGGACTGCTAGGAAGAGATGGATCCATCGGACCAGGTTGGGCGCATCTTTGCCAACAGGCTGATGCTGATGAGCCATAAACTAGGAACTGGGGGCTGGGAAGAGATGGTTATCCTCAAACAGGTAAGGAAGTGGTGGTCTAGACTGGCAAGCAAGAGGAGGAGGGTGATGTAAATAAGAAGAAAAAACCAGTGCCCAAGTCTGCCCACCCCAAATGTATGCATTCAATTAAGGAAGTCCTGAGAAGATGGCATTATGGGAGAAGCATTCACACTTTTTCTGGTATGTGCTGGAAAAGAAACACTGCCAAGCGGAAGCAATCCAGGAGGTCTCAAGTGCAGTGAGGATAACTTCCTGAGAAATGTGATTGAGCTGCTGAAGAGGGGAGATGATCTGCTAAACCTGGTATATATTATCTGCAGTGACCATGACTTGGTGAAGTTCATGATCTGGAGAGGAAGGGGCAAGCTGAAGGGAGGCTAGAGAAAACATGCTGAATGGTACACAGGACCCAGTGGAAAAAAGCCCATCAGTGCTTACATTGAGGAAAATACTCCCATATTTTATAGCATTCTTCATAGGGGTCTGAAATCTCCATTGATTCACCTCAGACTTTCTGTTGCGACATCATTTGTACCCATGTGAAAGAGCAGGAATGAGTAGTAGTTTGAAAGTTGTATTAAGCTCTTCAGCCCTGTAGTTACATCCCTAATTTTGAACCCAGAGAGAAAGCAAATTGCCCTGAAAAGAGGACGTGGTCTGCAAAGAGGTGCTTCTGTTCTGCACAGGAGATAATCACCAATGACCACAACTCACCACTGTTTCTCCTTGGTGCTTGTCTTAAGGCAGGTTTTATTGTGAGGGGCTGATCTCTGCCTTTTACAAGACTGTTTGCACTGGTTCCTCTTCTATCTCATTATGTGCTTTGTCCACCATACCCAGGGCATTTACTTATTCTGTAAGGGTGTCTCAGAGGATAAGAACAAGTTTCTTTAACCTCTCAATGCTGTAACTGTCTTCAGCCTTTCCTTATCCCTTGTGATGCTGCCTTCCTGCTGGTGCAAAACAGATCCAGGACCAGCCTCTGTGGCCATGGTGAATTCGCTTACATCACAGATGGCAGCATACAGCTCCATCGGTCAGTATCCCTCTCAGATTCTCAAATACTCAGTCTGCCATGGAAAAGGCTGAATTACTTAATGCCTTTTCTGTCTTGGTCTGCTTTACTGGTAAAACTGACTCAGAAATCACAAGCCTCTGAGACTAGCAGGAAAGTCTACAGCAAGAAGGATTTACCCTTGGTAGAGGAGGATTGGCTTTAAGGAACGTTTACATAACTGGAAATACACCAGTCCATGGGACCTCATGGCATATACCCACACATGCTGAGGGACCTGGCTGATGTCATTGCTAGGCCACTCTTAATAATCTTTGCAAGGTCATGGTAATTGGGGGCAACTCCTAGGATGAGATGAGTGTAGCTGCCACCCTCTCTTCAAGGAAAGCAAGAAAGGGTCATTGGGAATGTAGAAGCCAGTCAGCACCATTTCAGTCCCTAGGAACTGATGGAGCAAATAAACATGGAAAACATTTTGAAGTATATTAAACACATGCAGATGACTGGGAGTTGTCAGCGTGGTTTTAGGAAGGGAAAATCATGCCTGACAAACCTGACAGCCTTCTACAGTGAGGTGGCAGGCTTAGTGCTTGATGAGAAGATGTGGTGTTTACATTTGCTTTTGACACTGTCTTCCTTCACATCCTCATAGACAAACTGATGAAATATGGGCAAGGTAACTGGACAGTGAGATGGACTCAAAACTGGGTGAACTGCCAGACTCAAGGGGTTGTGAGCAGCAATGTGAAGTGCAGCTGATGGTCAGCAGTCACTGGTGTAGCCCAGTGTGCATTGTGAGACCAGTATCATTTATCATCTTCATTACCAGCCTGCACAATTGAGACACAGTGGACCCTCAGCAAACTGGAAGGAGCAGTCACTACACCAGATTGTTGTGCTGCCCTTTAGAGGGACCTTGATGGGCTGGAGGAAAGGGCTGACAAAAAAGACATGGACATCTTTGAGCAAGTCCAGGGAAGGGCCTTGGCAGTTATTAAGTTCTGTGAGTATCTGGCATATGAGAGGGAGGAGGACTGTGTATGTTATTCTTTACCTCAGTACTTCACAGCTTTGTAAAGATAATTTGATGTTTTCACCTTTCTTAATTATTTTCTAATATTGATCTTTTGACAACTATTTAGAATTGAGGCAATGTTTTCTCAATTCCAAAATATTTCTTCTGCATCTTAATTATTGCGGTGTGATACTCATTGTACGGTCTTGGAATCCTGCAGGAACCTTTAACTGTCTGATCTTACTTAATATCTATAAGTTTTTTTTTAAATTTAGACTGTGCTCTTAAGGAACAGCATGTTTTTCGTGGATCATTTGGTAAGCTGATGTCACTTTAATGTATTTTAGCAAAGTCTAAGGCAAAATCATACTTGTTGGGATGGTGGTGGGATAAATGTAGATTCATTTTTAGGATAGGCTACTGTAATCTAGAAGGCACTAACAAGAAAGAATGTGGGTCATTGTGACTGACTACTCAAGGTATTACAGGTTGGGCAGAGAAAAGATTCAGAGCAGCCCTGCAGAGAAGGAGTTGGGGGTATTGGTGGATGAGAAAAACTTAAAACGAGCTGGCTTCAGTGTGCATTTGCAGCCCAGAAAGCCAACTGTATCCTGGGCTGCATCAAAAGGAGCGTGACCAGCAGGTCGAAGGAGGTGATCCTGCCCCTCTACTCCGCTCTAGTGAGACCTCACCTGGAGTATTGTGTGCAGTTCTGGTGTCCTCAACATAAAAAGGACATGGAAGTGTTGGAACAAGTCCAGAGAAGGGCCACGAGGATGATCAGGGGACTGGAGCACCTCCCATATGAAGACAGGCTGAGGAAGTTGGGGCTGTTCAGCCTGGAGAAGAGAAGGCTGTGTGGAGACCTCACAGCAGCCTTCCAGTATCTGAAGGAGGCCTATAGGGATGCTGGGGAGGGACTCTTCATTAGGGACTGTAGTGACAGGACACGGGGTAATGGGTTCAGGCTTAAACAGGGGAAGTTTAGATTGGATATAAGAAGGAAATTCTTTGCTGTTAGGGTGGTGAGGCACTGGAATGGGTTGCTCAGGGAGGTTGTGAATGCTTCATCCCTGGCAGTGTTCAAGGCCAGGTTGGACAAGGCCTTGGCTGATACGATTTAGTGTAAGGTGTCCCTGCCCATGGCAGGCGGGTTGGAACTAGATGATCTTAAGGTCCTTTCTAACCCTAACGATTCTGTGATTCTATGATTCTATGTCCAGGAACAGTGCAATGTAAGCAGCTAATACAGGTACATAAAAGCAAGGGAATAATAATTGAGAAAATGATACTACTTTTATAAAGGAATACTGCTGGAAAACTTTTTCCAATTTGGTTGTCCATATTTGAAAAAAAAGAAAAAATTGTGGCTTTCCCTGAAAATTGTCTTGAAATAAGATTTTTGTATTAGGAAGCAAGGTTAAGAAATTCCATCTGATCTGATTACAGAACAAAACATTAAGAAGTGGTATCATCACAGCTTCTCAATGCATGTGAGGTGATTTATGACAATAGGGCCTTTGCTCAAATAGCAGAAAAATTTTCAATAGTTGTGAGCTGCAGTTATATATAATTGTGTAAGAAATAAGGTACGGGCTATTATGGTGAGAATAATGAGCTCCTGGGCTGTTTCCTCTGGGAATAAGGTGAGTTCTGTGTTACCGGAACATCTTAAGTTAAAAGTGGACATTTCTGTACAATTATGCTCTAGCTCAGTTGACCTCAAAAGCTTGTTGGTTCATGTGAAAAAACTGTTGTGAACTCAAGTGATAGAGCGGTGTAGAAAGCATGATGTTCTGACTAAGGTTGAAGTTACGGATTTTTGAAATGAAATTCAATGTGTTAATTGTGATACAGTGATGATTTATTGTTACTGGGTTTTGTCCTGTATAGCTGTTGATTTTGAGTGCTTCCACAGGAGAATCTGCATATCAAGAGAAACATTAACCTGCAATCCACTATTTCAGTTTTGAATGTAAAATATTCATTGAGACCATAGTCTGTTTTCCACACTAGTCCAACCCATCTTTCCTTTCTTTTTATTGGAGAAGTATGACAAAGGATTGTTCAGGTTAAAGGACTATATGGCTTTTTTTTTTTCTTTTCCTAAATTTTGGCTGCTTGGAGCTCAAGTGAATTGATACAATTTATATAGAAATTTCATTCTAACTCTGTACTCTTTTTAGATAGTATAAAATTAGCTGCAACTGGGGGTAAGCTTTTGCTGTCTGATGCACTTTGTGTGTGTATGTATCAAGATTTATGTAACCCAATGTGTTCTCTATTTTTTCCAAACGTTATGCCTGCTAGACCAATGCAGTTTTGTGTACTGCAGTATAAAACCTAAGACAAAGTGTGTATCATATTATTTTAAGGAAGTCCTCCTCTGTGTTTTCCCCTACTATCTTCATAAAAATGTCATGACCATGCTTATTGAAGCAAGGTAGAATTGAAAATAAGTTTATGCTCTTTTTTTTTTTTTTTCTGTGTTGTTTTTCTTAATCATATAGGGTTGCAATTGCAAAACTTAACAATTTTTCTCGCCTGGGGCCCACGCTTCATCTCCTTGGTGTGCAGTTTAATGAGAATGTGGCCCAAAACATCATGACAGGACAGCATGGGGCTGCAACAAAGCTATTATATGAATTGTATATTGCCTTGGAAAAAAAGAGAAAGACAAAGCTCACCAGAGTAGCCATGGAAGCAATGATACCTGCGGCAACTGTAAAGCTTAAGTCTATTGAAAGTGTTTTGTATCGAGAGGTAACTAACTGTGCCTATTTTGTATAAATATATAGGAAAAAACATAGCAGGTTTACATGTACGAACAAGCATTATGCTTGCTTCCCTCCCCACTTTTTAAATCTCCTATTCAAAATCTCATATTTATATGGAAAAGGAGCAATCCTTAGTCATATTTTTCATACAGAGACATAGGATTACACAGTTTATCTGTGACTCATGAAGATATTGATTATCTGTGGTTTGTGTTCCTTTGTTTTGGCTCATTCTGTGTTACGTATAGCAACAAAGGCTTGTAGTTGCTCACCAGCTGCCTTTTTACTCATTTGATAAGTACAGACTGCAGACTCTGCTGTGGTCTGGGTATCAACTTAAACTAATTTCCCCTTCAGGAAGCCTATTTATAATTGTGTTGAGCTTTGTACCACAGCGGTTTGGTTCCTTCTCATTTGGTTCCTTCTCTTGCATATCTTTCCATATATTTATACTACACTCCAGTCTGCAATAAACATATGCTGAATAATACAAAGAGGAAAAATCAAAGGAGAAAGACAGTATCTGAGAGGAAGTCAGTATTGATGTAATAGATTCTGTTAAGGACATTCTTGTCTTCAGCAGTAATGTTCAGCATATGCAGACCACAATTTGTTATCAGGATGAACAATCTTTAAGAAGCTATATATCATAAATTGAATTCAGCTGGGTGAAATGTCACTTTTTTTTTTCTGACACACTTCCTGAAAAATGGTCTACAAGCAGAAAGTTATCCAACAAGCCCAAGGACAGTACGAAACCGTCAAAACATCCCCTCACTTACAGAGGGTCAGCTTAAAGAACATAAAGGAACTGAGAATGGTTCCTGTCAATAGAAAGATTCAGAATGGTATTTGAATTGTAGAACAGCTGAGGTTGGAAGGGGCCTCTGGGGTCACTTAATCCACCTCCCCTGCTCTAAGAAAAGTCAATGGGAACAGTTTGCTCAGCACTTTGTTCAGTTGAGTTTTGAATATCTCGAAATGCGGAGACTTCATAGCCTGTCTGGGTAAATTATTTATTACCCTTCCAGTATTTTTTTTTCTGTATATTTAAGTTGAATTTTCCATCCGTTTCCCTAGTATAGAACAGTTCCAGTTGAAAGGGACCTACAACAATCATCTGGTCTGACTAGTCTTATCACTTCAGGACTGACTAAAATTTAAAATACGTTATTAAGGGCAAGGTCCAAATGCATCTTAAACACTGACAGGCTTGGGGCATCAATCACATCTCTAGGAAGCCTGTTGCAGTGTTTGGTCACCCTCTTGGTAGAGAAATGCTTCCTGATGTCCAGTCTAAACCTCTTCTGATGGCTCTTTGAACTGGTCCAATGTGTCCTGTCAGTGGGTACCAGAGAGGAGACACCAGCATCTCCCTCTCTGCTTTCCCTCCTCAGGAAGGTGTAGAGATCAAGGAGGTTGCCCCTTAGATTCCTTTCCTCCAAACTAGACAGAGTTTGGTATTGCTTAAGTTCAGATCTGCATATTATTTTCAATGGAGCTAGTCCTGTTTTTTCTGAAAAATAATCAACCATGTTTAGATGTTCTGTGTACATTAGCACAGGAAAACAGATTGAAATTTCTATATCAAAATTGTAATATTTAATTATTTAAATCTGTTTCATACTGCTTCTGATTTAATTGCTTGATGTTGAATTTTAGCGTTTGAAAACTTTAACACCTCGTCAGTTTGATTTGCAACTACAACAGATCGCAGAGCAGTTTGAAAAAAAATCTAAGGCAGCAGAAGATAAAATAGCTCGTAAACATATTGCAGAGCAACAGAAAATTCAGAAGCTCCAAGAGGAACGAAGAGTGCGAAACATTGAAAAGGTGACTTCTTACATAGTTCTGAAGAATTTTCTTAAGGTCATGTACAAAATGGGTTAAAGCCAGTGTGAATGCTTGGTAATTCTGTGCCACATAGTCATGGTTATACAAAAACAAAGGGAAGGAATAAGCATAGCAGTCATTAATGTGTAGCTATAAAGACAATATACTGTTATAAGGCCTTTAAAGTATTGATGCTTTAAAATCACTTAATATTATATTAAGGATTCTTGCATATTGTTACGCTTGGAAAATATTTATAGATTTTAAGACAAGGTGCAAATTTTACTACTGTATGTGTTTAAGGTGTCCTTGTAAAAGAGTTTTGTGATGTTCTTCACTAATGAAGATGAAGCTTTGATCAAAAAGCAGGAAAAAGACACAGGAAAGGGAACCTGCAGTGGGCATGGCCTCAAAACATGCAGCTCTGTGTAGCTGTTCTGATAAAATAAAAAACAGAAACTAACATCTTAAGATACAGTAACACAGCCTGTGTACAGCCTGGAGTTTAGATAGAGAAATTGGCCAGCTATCCAAGGCGTGATGAATCACAGTGAAGGTGAAGTTGACTAATTTGAGATGCATTTTATGTGGCATAAAGAAAGAGAGTCTGTGGTTATTTAGCTGTTCTATTGCCACTGCATGAACAAGAATGAAAAAAAGAAAGAGTCCCTTCATGTATCTGGAAAAGAAAATACAATCGATATCCAAAATATTAAAAATAAAACTCTAGAAGAAAATATCGTATTTGCTATAGTACATACTTATTTTTAAATATTTGTTATCTTACATATTTCTTTTGTAGCTATCTTTGATATAGTGCATATTTATTTTTCAACTATCCTAAATTCTTTGTAAAAAACCCTTTTATCCACTTTCACTGCCTGTAACTCTAGTGCACTTCTAAATAGTGTAATTTAGATGTTTCTTACTTCTTGATCATCTGACACTCATTGTTCAGTAGTAATATTACATAATGGTATTCTCAGTTTTTGTACCAGGAAACTGGTATTCTGAGTTTCTGTTCTGAATTCTGACTTGAAACAGGTGCCATAGTAGAGCTAGAATTTAGTACAAGCCCTTAAATGTCTATCAGCCACTGTGCATAAACTGGTTGGGTTTTTTTGTTACAGATGGGGTTCTATTGCATCACAGTATTTGCTTATGTATATAAGATGTACCATTTCATAATGGCAGTGTAAAAAAAAGTCTTCATCCTCAAATACTGAAAACATATACTAGCATATTGCTAAATTGTCAAATTACTCGTAATGATACTTCAAAATGCATTTTACAGCATCTACTTGGTATAAAAACAGTGGTTTATGACTACAGTGTCTGAGAATACTGTAAGACAACATTTAACTGCAGACAAAAGATAAAGAATAATTGTTTTATGGCATTTTAGTGGTCCACTTAAAAAAAAAACCACAAAACAAAACAAAAACGGAGTAAATTCAGCCATTGCTAAAGCCTGGAGCCTGATAAGCTCTACTACTTTCTTCCAGGAAGACTTTTTTCCTAAGGCTTAATTACATTTACTTCATAGATACATAGGTAATGTATTAGGGCTATAGGGTGTATTTTGTTTCAACGTCATTATCTGAACGTAAGATATTGAATATTCAGCATCATATAGAAAGAAAGAGGCAAAATGAAATAATGGCTAGGATTCAAGAAGCCATTTTACAGACTCCAAAGCCACCACGAAGCCACACCATAAAAGCTATTGAAGCAAACAAATTCTTAAGGAAGAAAAGAGAAGCAGAGGTAACTATCATCTGTATTCTTTTAATGTTAATTGTATGACCTTGCAAAGCAGATAATTCCTAGGAGCATTTAGATTTAAAAATATTGTACTTGCACTCTCTAAAAGCAGACAATACAATGTTAAAATGGTGAAGTAGATTCAACCAGTGGAAATTTGGCTAAATATTAGAATAATTCTGCATTTGTTACTTGGAAAAATTAGCTTTTATGTAAGTGAAAGTTCTTATTGAATAAATGCCATAGGTAGAAACTAATATAATTGCTGACAGCTTTTAGTTTACTGAGTAGAATATGTGAAATAAAAGGACTACTGTTACCTTCTCATTTGTGCATGACGGTTTGCACATAATGTATGAACTCTTCTGTAACACACACTATAACACTGTCTGCTCTATCAAAAATGTTAGTAACAGCTGAAATAGACAGTAGTCAAAGACCAAGTGATGATGGCAGTGCAGCGATAAAAAAAAAAAAAAAAAATCTGTATTATCTGGTGCTGGAGATTACTTAGATAGTAATCTTATAGTTCATGGATTCGGTTGTCATCAGGAATGCAAATATTACCAGTTTTTACAGCTGCACAATGGTGCATTTAGATGTAGAGTGTACAAAAGCAACATAGTTGCTTGAGTGACTATCAGGGATAAATTCAGGCTACTAAATCTAAAGCAGATCATAGCTAGAATATCTTGTTTCAAGTCCCTGAATGGTAGGAATTATATAAATTGCTGGAGTCCTATGCAAAATCAGAATTATCTTGCAAAATGAACAGCTGCAAAATCTTGGGATTTTCTGGGTAGTGGACATGGCTGTGAAAAGGGCAGGCAGGAGGGAAATTAAACGTAGGAAAGGGAAATAGTCTTGTTTTTTTCTTCATCTATCTGATGCTAAAAATATTTTCAGTGTAAACATTTCCACTGGACTAAAATGACAAAAAATAATTTGTAAATCCTTAGTCTACTAAACCTTTGTGTTTTGTGAAGAGAAAAAAAAAAACATTTTTTTTTTTGTTATTTCAGGACGCATATAAGGAGATTAGTAAGTTTGAGAAATCTATTGCCTATACACTACACAGCCAAATCACTGACAGGTAAATAATTGAATATTAGATTGTTAAGATTAATCAGGATCCTACCTCAGGTGCCTACTATCTATGTAGACATCTATTTGAGGAAAATGTGATATCTTGTTTAGTTTTAACTGTGATTTTCCACTAGCACTCTAAATACTCCAGCTCCAGCACCACCACAGTTTTTACTTTACTTTTAGTTGTAGTAGGGATGGCTCAAACTTCCTTCTCTCCTTTTTACCATGTATATAGCAACAAAGGACACAAAGCGCTTCTCTTCTCTGTTCATTCCAGTCACTGAGTCTGTAAGGTCAGTTATATTTGCAAAGAGACAAGAATGGTTGTGGATGTACGTACACAGTAATATAAACCAGAGAAAGTAGAAGTAACCTTTCTCCTTAGACTTATCTGTGTCTTGAATTATTTGTGAATAATTTAGTCATTCTGTCATCTTTAGTGACATGCATAACATACTCAGAAGAGGTGGCACTCATGCATACTGCTGTGGATACTTCTGTGTGTAAACAAAATGTGACTAATAACTGCAAAACTGCACCCAAAGCATATGAACATCTTAAAAAGTAACCCATATTTCTCTGATATTCTGTGAGCCATCATAATTTCCTGTTTCTATAGAATATGACTTCATATTAGCAAATGAACTAATTGACAGTTGGCTCAAGTCAGTGTTGGCTGGAGCCCTCCTCCAGACTTAGTGGTCATTGTGGGGCACAAGAGCAGCAAAAAGTAACCACAATGCCCACAGAGTGCTGTTGTGCATTTGTCAGACTTCCACGTAATTATACAGGGATCTGAATGAAAACACCTCTAAGAGCCATAATTCCTATAAAGTCAGTAATCTTTTTAATCTTTTCAATCAGTGATATAGAAGAATCATTGCAAACACAGAAGTTGGAAGAAACAACTCCAGAAACTACAGAACAGACAGCAACTGAGCTATTAAGTGTTTATTCAGATGATGACTATATAAGGAAAATTAAAAAACGTTTAGAGGAAGATGCATTTTCTAGAGAACAACGAGAAAAGAGGCGGCGAAAAATGTTAATGGACCAATTAATAGCACATGAAGCTGAAGAGGTGAGAAAATGTATGTTGAAGTATATAACCCATGCACAATTACTAATTTAAAGATTTGCTTACAAGCATAGAAGAATGGTATTTTTGGAGGTTAATAGATTTGTATGCAATAAAGGGAGGTGTGTATGCTTAGCTCTGGAAATAACTTCTGTGCCACTGTTTTTCCTTGAAAAATGTGGACGGTTGTCCATTCTTTCTCACCATCTTTATGTCATACTTCATCCTTATAAATCATAAAGGATCAAATGAAGGCAGTAGAGCTAAGATTATTAAAAATCAGTTCAAGACCTACCTCTTATTCCTTCCCCCACCAAGTTGACCTTCAAATTATCAAAATGTATAGTGGTTCTGAAGAAGATACTTCTTAAAAAGCAACAAAAATGTCTCATTCCTTGGTTGGAAACCTGTATTTACAAATACGAAAATTTGATCGGGACTGGATGAATTCTGAAATGTTAGTTCTATGGAATATGAAGAAGCAAAACATGCTGCAGATCAGATCTTTGTTTTTTGATGTTGTCCTGGGTTCAGCAGTAGCAGTCATTTTTTCTCCTTCTTAGTAGCTGGTGCAGCATTGTGGTTTTGACTTTGGCCTTGGAACAGCACTGGCAACACCAGTGTTTTTAGTTGCTGCTACTCTGACCAAGGACTTTCCGAGTCTCATGCTCTGCCAGGGAGGAGGGAAAGCTGGGAAGAAGCAGAGAAAGAACACCTGACCCAAACTAACCAAAGAGGTGTTCCATACCACAGCACATCGTGCCCACTATATAAACTTGGGGCAGTTACCCAGAAGGGTGAGATCACTGCTCAGTCAGGCTGGGTATCCAGTCGGTGGGTGGTGAGCGGTTGTATTCTCTTCCTTTGTTATTTCCCTTATCATTATTATTATTGGTGGTAGCAGCAGTTGTTCGTGTTATACCTTTGTTACTGGATTGCTCTTATCTCAACCCGTGGGACTTACATTCTTTCAATTCTCCTCCTCATCTCTCTGGGGGCGGGGGGGGGGGGGGGGGGGGAAGAAAAGGGAGTGGGGGAGAAAGTGGCTGTGTGGTTCTGAGTTATGGCTGGGCTTAAGCCAGGATAGATGGCTTATGAAATAGAAGATACATCTCTGGAGGATGCCTGTGTTGTGTCTAAAAGGTGCGTTGCAGGTTATTTCATTTAAACACTGTCCCATAAAGCACAAGGCTTTTCAGATTCCTCCTCAGACACTCATTCAAAAAGCAGCTTTTAGACTACTGACTTCACAGACCTTCTTTCTCATAATGGTCATATCAAAACAGAACCTTGTAACTTACTGGGTTCTGTGATTTCTAGTGTCTTTTATCTTAGTATTGCATTATGGGTCCTTAGCTTAGGTCATATATGCTGAAATCAGAATATATCTCCACTGTTGTTTCCCAGTAAGAGCATTTCAGATGTGTGGCATATCTGAAAAGGAAAACTATGAAATTACATATATATATATATATATATATAAACATTGGAATCTAATGTCTGGAGATGTTATGGTGATGTTAAGAAAAAATTAAATTTATTGGTGTAGGCATCTTCTCAATATTTATCCTGGACCTATATAGAATCATAGAATAGTTACGGTTGGAAAAGACCTTAAGACCATCTAGTTCCAATCCCCCTGCCATGGGCAAGGACACCTCACATTAAACCATGACACTCAAGGCTCTGTCCAGCCTGGACTTGAGCACTGCCAGGGATGGAGCAACCCATACCAGTACCTCACCACCCTCGCAGTAAAGAATTTCTTCCTTATATCTAACCTGAACTTCCCCTGTTTAAGTTTTAACCCTTCACCCCTTGTCCTGTCACTACAGTCCCTAGTGAAGAGTCCCTCCCCAGCATCCTTATAGGCCCCCTTCCCATACTGGAGGGCTGCTATGAGGTCTCCACGCAGCCTTCTCTTCTCCAGGCTGAACAGCCCCAACTTTCTCAGCCTGTCTTCATACAGGAGGTGCTCCAGTGCCCTGATCATCCTCGTGGCCTCCTCTGGACTTGTTCCAACACTTCCATGTCCTTTTTATGTTGAGGACACCAAAACTCCACACAATACCCCAGGTGAGGTCTCACGAGAGCAGAGTAGAGGGGCAGGATCACTTCCTTCGACCTGCTGGCCATGCTCCTTTTGCTGCAGCCCAGGATATGGTTGGCTTTCTGGGCTGCAGGCGCACACTGAAGCTGGCTCATGTTCATTTGCTCATCGAGCAACACCCCCAAGTCCTTCTCCACAGGGCTGCTCTGAATCTCTTCTCTGCCCAACCTGTAGCTGTGCCTGGGATTGCTCCGACCCAGGTGTGGGACTTTGCACTTGGCATGGTTAAACTTCATGAGCTTGGCATCAGCCCACCTCACAAGCATGTCAAGGTCCCTCTGGATGGCATTCCCTCCCTCCAGCGTGTCAACGGAACCACACAGCTTGGTGTCATCGGCAAACTTGCTGAGGGCACACTCAATCCCACTGTCCATGTCAGCGACAAAGATGTTGAACAAGGCTGGTTCCAACACTGATCCCTGAGGGTCACCACTCATTACTGGTCTCCAGCCAGACATTGAGCCATTGACCACAACTCTTTGTGTGCAGCCATCCAGCCAGTTCTTTATCCACTGAGTGGTCCACCTATCAAACTGATGTCTCTCCAATTTAGAGACAAGGATGTTATGCGGGACAGTGTCGAATGCTTTGCCCAAGTCCAGGTAGAAAAAGTCAACTGCTCTACCTCTGTCCATCAGTTCCATAGCCCCATCATAGAAAGCCACCAAACTAATACTCTGTGAAAAACATCTGTATTGGCTTGAACCAAGAGTCCATCTATTCAACAACATCTTTATCATGTTCTTGTTGACATTCATGTGGGCCATGAAGAAATTTTGCAACCCAGGTATATGAAATCACTGTAGTCCCAAAACTGGCTCTTTGACTGCTATCAGCTGTTGCAGTCCCAGCAGGACATCAGCAGCCTGGACTAGTGGTTCTGATAGTCATGGCTATCAGCTGATGGCCCTGTGTCCAGCAGCAATCACTGAGGCATTTGATAAATAGAGCAGCTTTAAGCCAGCAAAGTCAGTCAGTGCTGTTGAGGTCAGACAGGTGGTTCCCCTGCGGTTGTAGTACAAGCCTTGTCAGTTTGAATGGAGGAATTGTTGCAATGTGCTGCCAATCAGACTGTCTCCAGTGAGGCTTTAAAGCAAGTACAAAATAACTTTTTATAGAATCATAGAATAGAATCATAGAATAGATATTTTCTTTAATAAATAAATATACAAAATAGTGAAAATTACTTTCTCCCTACATTAGATATCAAGTCAGAAAGCATTTTCAGACTGAAATGTAGCTTTCTTCAAAACATTAGGGTCAGATTGTGATCTATACTGCATAAAACATGAACACATGCACAAGATCGTTTAGAGTCAAATTTTGTCTCTTCAGAGTGCTTTAATGTGTTTTGTGTCCGTACATGTAAACCTCTACTAAAAGAGTCTTTTTCAAGTTCTTGAGGTTTGGCACACTACAAGCCTGTGAGAAAAAATACTTTACAATCACATGACAGTCCTCTGTGTGGAGCACAGGGGGATGCCAGTCAGATTTTCATAGGCAGGAGTTGAAAGTGTTTGACAGTAACATGGCTTCATCCCAATTGAGTCTTAGATCCCTACCATTTCAACAAAATGTTTTTCTAAGTACTCATTTTATTTAGTGCTCTCAGATTTTACCTCTCTGATTTTAAAAAGTTGTCATAAGAAGTTACTGTCAACAATAAATTGAGAAGATGGAAATGGGAGGGGAAAGGAATTGCTACTAGATTATCGCTTGTCAACCAAATAGATTTATATATGCTAAACTATAAGTTTTGGTCATAAATTTTATGACTACATCATAGGACAAAATCGTTTCATTTGAACATCAATTAAACAAGGAAACAGAAAAATAGAAAAACCTGATGTAGTCATTATGTATGAGCAACAAGAAACGTAAATGCATAAATGTTTGGCCACTGGATGACACTGTTGTCTTGAGTAGGTAAACTAAAAAAAAAGTGTGTATTTACGATTTCTTCAGGCACTTCACAATCCTCTGTAAAAAAGTTGATATTTACATGTTACATCAAAATGTTAGGTCAAAAAATTGTACTACAATTTTTATTTTGTGTCCTAGCATCTCCAGGAGTTTCAAAACTTTTCAGCCTTAGGTTCTAGTACATTGTCCATTACTGTGTGTATGAAAGATAGCTACCAATGCTTCAATAAGCACCCTTTTTGAAACTGTGAGTTTGGTATTCTGAATCCTAATTTGTCCACAGTGTAGCTCTGAGTTAATTGCCTTTTCATATGTTTTTGTTCATCAGAAATCTCTGGCTACCTCTTTTTAGGCCTATGCAGAATATCAAAATGTTTGATTGTGTAGAATACTGATGTTCTCCACTGTTAAGTTAACAAAGAAAAGGTCTCTTTTGGCTGTTCTGAAGTGTTCTAAAGGAACTGTTTCCTTTATAGAGCACATGCTACTAGAGGAGGTGCTTTGATTTCTTACTAAGCCAGCTATTTGCACCATACAGTTAATTGTTTGGGTATGTCAAATTACCACTGTGTTAGGGTGAGTACATCAGTTCCTTGTGAATTAAGATTTGAAGATCCATTTTCCTCTGGTGGAGCACTTACTGCATTACCAATCCATGCCTGAGGATAAGCAGTGGCAGCTAAAGAAAACAATGAAAATGATTTATTCCTAATGGGAAGCAAAGTCTATACATTCTCTTATCTTCATTGAAATCTTCATGAAATACTAAGCCCAAAGAAACAGTAGATAAAACTGAGGCAGGAAAGGGCATCATGTCTACTTTTATTGCCTTGACTTCATGAATGTGAGAGACAAATTGGACAACTCTTCAGTAGGCAGTGCTACTGGGAAATTTTATCACATGAGCTGTATCAAATGACACATAGGATGAATATGAAAATATAAAGTACATATAAAGTTCTTATTATTACATTGTTTTCTATTTCAGTTGAATGCATGATGATAATTGTATGCATAGAAAAGCAGTGTACAAGCACTACAGATAGAGTACAAAGCAAAAAACTTCCAAAATGGGATCTAATTCACAAAATTCACTGCATGCAGTTGAAGCATTATGGGACTGCATCTTTGCCATTAAAAATATCATGCAGTGTCCTGAGATTTAGTGCTTTGAAAGGGAAATGCAAAGCTTAGGCTTTTCAAGTCACCAGTATTTAATCTGAGTGTAGTTTATTTCCAGCAATTATAAAGGGGAAGGAACTTAAAAATATGGAAAGAGTTTTGTTTGAAAAATATTGGCTTCTCGCTAACATCAACATTAAAGAACTAAATTAATTAGAAAGTTGTAGTTATTGTAGTTATTATTAAAATAGCCATGTTGTACAGCTTTGTGTTAGAAATCTATTGCAGATGTCCTAATTGCATGAGTAGCACAGATCTAGACCTCTTTGTAGAGCCCTTTCATAAGTAGTATAATAATATGTAATTTAGTTTGATTTTTCATTTACAGGTGAATTTATGTAACGTGTTCTGCCTTCTCTGTCACAGACAGCTAATGGAAAATAAACCAGATTAAAAGAAAGCAGAAATGATACTTTACTTTGGTTTGGCTTTCATAGTATTACTAACTGGCTTTACCTGTTCTTCTGGTCGTAAGAAAATGAGTTTGAAATCTTCAGATCAGTTTCCAATTTAGGTTCTTAAATTTGAATACATATCATAGCATTTTTACTACATCTGAAATAAGTGTCCTGTGAATAAAAATATCCTCTAAAATACTGCTGTAGGAGTGATATTTGGCAATGGAGCTTGAAAGGCAAGCTTAGAAGTCAGAAGGAGTTCTGGACTGTGAAAATAATGAGGCAAAACATTAGGTTAGGTGAAGCATTAGTTTAGATACCAAGAGCAGTTTAAAGAAGTGTAGTAGTGAGAAGATACTATTATGTTTTGACAAGTACTGTGAGAAGTTACAGTCCACAGCCTTCAAAGTGTCTGTGCATACTGACTATGCTTCATGCAATGGTTCAGAATGATTTTCTTATAGTACCAAATAGAGGATTCTATTCGTGTCCCAGTGAGAACACTGAAACTGTTACCAGGAAGTCTTGTGTTTTCTTCTGCTCTGAATGCTTCCTCATATCCCACTTTTCTGAATGGAGGAAAATGGAGAGCATAATTACCCAAATCCCAAGAAAGCAGGGAAAATTTCGTAGAAGAACAGACTGATCAAGGATCCAGCAGAGTACAACACGGACTGGCAAAGAGCAAGGATAAGTTAATTGATTTGAAGAAAGGACATATCTTTAGGTACTGAAGCAAATATGAATAAATGTATTTTTTGCTATCTCAGTTAAGACATATAGAATTCACTTCTACGGTTCTACAGTTCTCACATAGTTTACAAATATATGACTTAGATATGTTGTTTTGCATTTATATATAAAAGGAGAAGGTAAATGCTGTTATATTACTCCATATTCTCTATGAGCAACTGATGAGTTGTCTAGGAAATAGTTTATAAGCTGTGCTTAATACTATTATTTTTTATATTTTAGAAGGCTTATCGGGAGGAGCAACTAATTTACAGACTATTGAGACAAACTCAGCAGGAGCGGAGGATTGCTGTTGAACTCATGCATGTTCGACATGAAAAAGAGGTGTTAAGGCAAAACAGGATTTTTAGGGAAAAAAAGTATAAAGAAAGACGACTGAAAGAATTCCAGGAAGCTCTTGACAGAGAAGAGGTAAAAGATTACTTACTTCCTGAATTGCTGCAGGGCTGTTACAGAGCTTTCCTTTTATAAAATGGGATTTGTATTGTCAGCTGTTAGAATTTAGGACTTTTTTAGGGACAGGAATATATTCTTTTATATAGGTTCAGAGTTACAGCTAAGTTAATTAAGGGATAAAGCTGGAAAACTTAAAGTCTGATTTTGATCTTTTCTTCCAAGCTCATTTTAACTTTGTAGGAAAACATCTATGTATGCTGAGTTATAAAAGGTACAGTCTTGCAGAGGCAAAATGACAAGACAGTGACATAAGACCATGTTCAAAGAATCATGTTTTTCATTTCCTGTAGATGTAATCTGTTAACATCAATTTTTGAGAAATGCTGGAGAACTTTCACTCATGAGTGCTAATTTCTACCTTGGAAACTCAACTTGGAGTTAATTAATAAACTAAAAGGACTCATAAACTGTGACAAACTGCAAAGTGCTACACTCATAGGAGACGATAATGTGATAATAGAAATCACCAGGTTTATTCCTGAAGGTTTGTTTTGAAGGTTTGTTCGTGCAAGAAACAATTAGCAGCTCCAAATTCTCCAGCACAGCTGGCATCCTAAATTATCAGCAGCTGCAGCTGTTGATTACAACAACTTTCTTAAGTATGCTTTTGGCATAAAGGAACACACTGTCACGGGAACTATTGATAATTTTCTACCAATACCAGAAGTCTTTCTCAAAGATTGATCAGCATCAATAATATCAAATTATTTGCAGATCAGAATCTTTTAAGCTAAATTGCTTGTCATGTTTTCTCAATGAGTATTCCATTGTGGGTTTCAGTGGAAGTAAGCCTTTACCAGTATATATACATAGTTGTTTCTTAGGAGGAATAGACAGTATCATTTCATTTTCCCCTGCCCCTTAAGCACTAACTGTGTTCTTAATCTTTTCATTGCGAAAGAATTTACTTTGTAGTCTCAAATTTACTCTTTAAAAAAAAATTCTAGGCTCTTGCAAAACAAGAAAAAATCGATTATGAAGAACAAATTATTAAAGAAAGAGAACATCATGAGAAAATTGCTGCTGAAAGAGCTCAGGCACATTATAAAAAGCATTATTCTATATGTTGGGAAGTTGTCAACCAAATCATTGATTTGTCAACACAAGTAGGAGAGTATCGTCTTCTGACAAACAAGTGAGTATAGTAGCTGTGAGCAAAAAATAACAGCATAGGTGTTAGGCTTCAGAGTTCTACATGCTATGATTCCCTCTTCTGATATGCCCTAATAGCACGGAGTCTGAAAAGGTCCTAAAAATGCAGTAGTGTCCAAGTGCTGGTGCTGTAGGAGTGTTTTGAAAACTAGAGTGGGGCCTTGTTGCTCTTGTTCTTTCATCAGTATTCAGTGATTAGACTGTGGGGTAAGGCTTATAGTATTAGAAGGTATGCCAAAATCTTCATTGTCTTTTAATGGAATTGTATGTAAAAATAATAAAGCTGTAACCATGTGAAATATATATGATAATGTTTTATGGAAATTGTATAAATTTAGGCCCAGTGAGTTCATGATAAAATAGTCATCCTAAACACAGTTTAGTGATGATTTGATTCTTTCCTTGTCTGACACAATCATGGTTCCAGTATAAGCTAGTGTCACATTTGCTTGTACTGAGTGGTGCACAATATATAGAGATACTTGAAGTAGATTGATGTAATCCCAACAAGTAATAGAAACTTTAATTTTGACTACATGTTAAATTTAAGTATACATTTAGCTTGCTACCATATGTAGTTTGTCTTGTTTGATATAAATATTTTCCCTTTCTAAAAGAAAAATTCAGCTTACTTTTGTAATGCTGAATTAATTTTAGGTTCCAGAAAAAAAAATCTATTGTTTTTTTGATGAGAGGAAGCTTTATCCCACAAAAGCAAAAAATATTTTGGAGTAGGGAAAAATAGCTATAGCAAAACTGTTATTACACAGCTCTGGCAGCCAAATACTGTGTGATGACACATTTGTGAAATATTGACGCCTACAAGTGCCTATGGCTGTCATATAAGTAACCAACAACTTATGTAAAGCTGTAATAATTATAGAAATCATTACAAATGATATCTACTTTAGCATATGCATGTTTTGTCATTGTGATTCTTGTAAAATCGAGTTCACTATTCTCAAATATCTAACCCCTTTAATTTTTGTTTTGGAATTCATTCTTTTTCTTTCTTTAAATTTATTTCTTCTGCAGCAGAATTCCATTAAAGCTGATGCTTGATTGGAAGGAACTTTTTTTTAAAGGAAAACCGATATATGAACAAGCTTCAATTCAGCCTTTGCCGAGTGAACCACACCCAGAAGAACTTTTACATCTGAATAAATTGAATCTTTTAGATGAAAAAGATTATAGTGAATACAAGGTACATCAAGCTGATAAGATAAAATGGAAGAAAATACACTTTGATTTTTCATAATCATAAATATTTTGTTGTGGTTTCATTATGTTCTTCTACAAGTTTCAAATATCAGATTTCAACATGCATTTTCTTTTCATTGCCTGAGGTTCTATATGAAATATATGGCTATATTTTATGTTAATAGCAGTGGAGAACTGGTACAATTTTAAAACACTGTTATGATTTCATTCTTGTACATAACATTGTTTGGTTTTCCCTCTTGAGCTCGTAGGACCAATATATTAACTTGATAGACTTAATTTCAGCAATTTTGAGTGAAAGCCTTCTAATAAGATTTATTAGTTTGAGATAAGCATTTGTTTTAAAATGGTAGCATTAGTGAAAATTATTGAAAGTCACTGGCATTTTTCTTAACCTTCCATTAGAATACAAGTAACTATTTTTTGGGGAGCCTTAAAACTTCAGCTTTATGATACTTTAATATAATTTCACAAGTTACAGATGAAGTATTAATGTTTTCCTGTTTAAATGTATTGTACAATTTTTTTCTGAATTACATTAATGGTACTTTTCTTTTTGGGGGGGGGGGGGGGAAAGAAAATCCTGCTACATATTCATTTTTTTCAAGTAAAAAAGTTTAACTAAAAAAATTTAACTAGAATATGGCCAAATCATGGCACATAACCCATGTTTGACTTTTGGGGAACTTATAACTACAATATGCATGTGCTTTTATCCACATCCTGAACCAATTGGTACATTCTTTTGACGTGAGTATAAATGTTCATTGCAAGTTGCTGTGATGAATGTCTGCCAGCTCAATTTACTTTGGTATCAATCTTAATATACATTTTTTCTGATTGTCTGCTATTATAACTTATTATCTGCTATTCTGGTGTCTATTTATAAGGTCTTTGTTCAGACTTTATCAACTCGTAGTAGATTTAATGATCACTTTCTTTAGGTGAAAAATGCATACATATAAGGCCAACGGGGAGGACATATGGGACAGACAGGCAGGAAACTGGAGAGCTTTCCCATCATGCTGTTGTTTATATTACACCGTAATAGTCTTCTTTAGATGTAAAGCACTGGAGATCACAAACATTTAATGACGCATTTAAAGTCTCTTTTTCAGTACCAGGCTGTTTCAACTGTACATCCACATACTTAGTTTTTTCCCATTTGCTGTTAGTCTTATGCCTTTCTGAATCAGTATTCCTGAAGAGCTGGTATCATATGACTTGTAAAATTTTTGGCACCAACTTGTATTTGTGTCTTCTAAAAACTTAAGTAGATTACTAATACATACCTTCAATTGATTCTAGATAAAAGCATGTTGGCAGGGCATTCTGGAAGTTTATGCTGATTTCCTTAAACCTTGAGAAAAAAAGCTCAGCAAAGGCAATTCTGCATCTCTCAAGAATATTAAGTTTACATTAGGAATACTGACTAAAAGTGTCAGATACATTTAATAAAATACAAGAACATGATACAGTGCTATCAGTCCACTGCACATTCCACATTAGATTGAAAATATTGGGAAACTTCTACATCATCAGATTCAGCTAATCACTTCATAAGTTAAAGGAATCACCCAAAATAAACCTAACAGTAGGCACTGCTCAAAATATCAAGTAATTTCTGGTTTCACTCAAGAGTGTTGACCAGGAGTTACTTAACTTTCACCTAGATACCTGAAAATGTGTTTCTGAGAAGTAAGCTAATTTAGCTCAAGAAAGGTACAAACTTCTGCTTAAAAGGGCAAGAAATCGGAAAGGTGAGTACATTAAATGGGGAGCCCATTTAATTTGGAATTAATTTTTCCTCCTAGAGTTTAAAACAACAGATCCATCTTTACTTATTTTTTAAGGAAGAATGGTTCAGATAGGACAACAATTTGGGTTTTTTAAGCATGTTATTTCAATTACATATTAAGAAGAATGTCAAAGCGGGAGATGATGGGTTCAGTTAGGTCCATGTTCTCTGAGAAAGTCAGTGATGGGTCTGGTCTTGTTTAACATCTTTGTCGCTGACATGGACAGTGGGATTGAGTGCACCCTCAGCAAGTTTGCCGATGACACCAAGCTCTGTGGTTCGGTTGATACGCTGGAGGGAGGGAATGCCATCCAGAGGGACCTTGACACGCTTGTGAGGTGGGCTGATGCCAACCTTATGAAGTTTAACCATGACAAGTGCAAGGTCCTACACCTGGGTCAGAGCAATCCCAGGCACAGCTACAGGTTGGGCAGAGAAAAGATTCAGAGCAGCCCTGCAGAGAAGGACTTGGGGGTGTTGGTTGATGAGAAAATGAACATGAGCCAGCTTCAGTGTGTGCTTACAGCCCAGAAAGCCAACCGTATCCTGGGCTGCATCAAGAGGAGCGTGACCAGCAGGTCGAAGGAGGTGATCCTGCCCCTCTACTCTGCTCTCGTGAGACCTCACCTGGAGTATTGTGTGCAGTTCTGGTGTCCTCAACATAAAAAGGACATGGAAGTGTTGGAACAAGTCCAGAGGAGGCCATGAGGATGATCAGGGCACTGGAGCACCTCCTGTATGAAGACAGGCTGAGAAAGTTGGGGCTGTTCAGCCTGGAGAAGAGAAGGCTGCGTGGAGACCTCATAGCAGCCTTCCAGTATCTGGAGGGGGCCTGTAAGGATGCTGGGGAGGGACTCTTCACTAGGGACTGTAGTGACAGGACAAGGGGTGAAGGGTTCAAACTTAAACAGAGGACATTTAGATTTGATATAAGGAAGAAATTCTTTCCTGTTAGGGTGGTGAGGCACTGGAATGGGTTGCCCAGGGAGGTTGTGAATGCTCCATCCCTGGCAGTGTTCAAGACCAGGTTGGACGAGGCCTTGGTGATATGGGTTAGCGTGAGGTGTCCTTGCCCATGGCAGGGGGATTGGAACTAGATGATCTTAAGGTCCTTTCCAACCCTAACTATTCTATGATTCTATGATTCTAAGGATGTTTTCTGAGATTGATTAGAGAGGGGTTATTGTGCAACTCAAGATTATTTTTTTTTTAATTTGGTTTTACTGATTAAAAATAGGAGATATTTTCATTTAGAGTGATAATAAGTTACATTGTGTTATTCTATCTAATGCACGTATATTCAAAGTTGACACTGATCAAGTTCTGTTAGTAGAATGTGTGCTGTGAAAATGTATCATACATGCAAGTAAGTTCAGGAAAAGGTTGCATATTCTACCTGGAACATGGATTCAAAACATTGTATTTCAGCAGAACTTTGAAACCAGTTGCTTCTGTTAATGGTGATTAAATATTTAATTTTAGAATGATATAATTGTTGAGGTTTAAAGGGATGTGGAGGTCATTTAGTATAACCTCTTTCCTCAAAGCAGGGCCAACTTCTGAGTCAGATAAAGTTGCCCAAAACCATGTCTGGTCAGCTTTCAAGTATTTCCAAGGGTAAAGATTCCACAGACTTTCTGCATTCAGCCACTTTTATTGTGAAATTCTTTTTTTCTCCGTTATTTTTCCCACTTGGAGTTTCTCTTGCTGAAATAGTTGACTGTGTAACAACCCTTTATTTTGCACCCTAAATGAGGTGGCAAGCCAGAATCTATTTGGTAATATTATTAGTCCATGTATCTTTGAAACAGTTTTTTAGTATCCTGCAACCAAACAATAATTAATACAGCACTAGAACTACCCTGCATACTAAAATATTCTCTTTTAGCTTTTTGTACCAGAAGTTGGACATCAGAACTTTCCTACAGCTATAAGATCCGGTAGTGGTAGAGTATATATTAGAGTGACTAATAGCAAAAAGTACAATTCTGTGTTCACTTCTTTTGACTACACCCTTTCAATCTCATATTTCTTCCAATGAGATTGTCAGCAAGAGTATTTTTACTAGCAAAACCTCATTAAGCTGTATGCTGGTAACGCGTAGTACTGATAAATTTATATTGGTCTCAGAGTAGCTGAACAGGAAGTTTCTACCCAATGTTTCCTTCCCTCATAATTGTTTGAATTATACGTTGGCTTGTTTGGTTTGGATTGTTGACTGTTAGTTTTTGGTTGGTTGGTTGGGGTTTGGGTTTTTTTGTTTGTTTGGTTGTTTTTTTTTGAGGGGGGTGTGTGTTTTTTTTTTTTGTTGTTGTTATTTGTTTGTCTGTTTTCGCTCTATTTTGTGTGTTAGGCAAATACATTTATTTGAAGTCTTTATCCATACAAATTTTCAAAGATGTGTAATACTGGACAACAATGTTACCCATTTTTAGAGTGCTGAATATTAAGATACTGACCTTCTGTTCCAAAAATCTGCTATTGATTCATTCTCTGTACTAGTGAATATCAATGAATGCCTAATGATTATGACATAATTAACGTTTTTAACAAGTGTCTATTCTAAAAAAATATTTTATTACTTGGTAGTATTCAGATTTGGTTATTGTATGTATCCAGTTTGTGTATAAATACATATATCTAGAAAGATGAAAGACAAGGAATATTAACAAATTATTTGGTGATTTGTCGTTTGACACAGAGTATGACAGGGGAATGGTGCCCAGATGAAGAGAACAGTGAAACCAAACCTCCTCTTAATAATAACATGTTGGGTCATGTGCTTCATAGACTAATGGAGATTTTCTATCCTCCAAAACCCATTTCTTCATCTGCATTTCCTCCATTTCCTATCAAGGGATGTATTTTGGGAAAACCTTTTAGTGGAAAAACTACCTGTGTAAAGTTTATTGAAAAAGGTAGAGTGGGTTTGTTCTGTTTATTTGTTCTTTTGTTTGTTATTCCTATAATTCTTTGTTATCTAAATTTTAGTCTTTATTTGCCTTAAAATCCCTCTTTTTTGTGTATTAGTTTGCAATATTCAGGTACTATCTGTGGATGTTTTGGTTCAAGAGGCCATCCAAGCTTTTCTTAAAAATGAAATGAAAAATGAAGAAAATATGATTCCGCAAGAGGCAGAGAGATCTGGGGAAGAAAATGAGGTAAGCAACTTCGTTGATTTTGGTTTTGGCTCCTACAGGGAGATGAGCATGAAGTATGTAAGGGAAAAAGCATGTTTAAATTTTTTTTGATAAATTTCAAACTTAACTCTAAGTTTTGCCTTAAAAGACTTCGAGAGTCAGCTTGAATTAACAGGCTTGTTTTTCCTGTGATATGTAGTTTCCTTTCTAATCCGTTTTGTTTCATAACTGATCAATGTCGAGAAGAACTTGCCACCACTGGATGTATTAAAGAATCTTGAAACAGAAATATCTATCAATGGAACCGAAGGTGGGTGTATATTTTACTTATATATGTATAGGTACATGTAATCTTACTAGATTTAAATGACAATTCCCCTTTCTCTTGTACATTTGAGGTACTACCCATGAATTCTCAGTTTTCACAGTAGTTTCTGTTATGAATTTCCTGTTTCCACACATTCCTAGTGTTTGGGAGCAGCAAATGCAGGCTGCTCCATGAAAGAAAGTGAGCTAGGTGACAAGGACAATAGCAAAGCAGGAAATGCCAACATTCAGAAACAGAGACTGAGGATATTTATTGATGTCAGAGTCACTATGAGGTCCAGAGACATTGATCAGCTTCAGTCTGATGCTGTTCACCTTCTTTACTGCAAGGGCATGTTGCTGGTTCATGGTCAACTTATTCTCCTCCAGGGCCTCCAGGCCCTTCTCTGCAAAACCGATTTCAAGAGAGTTGACAACCAGCTGGTACTGAAGGCAGGGGAGGTTCCTCACCAGAGGCAGGACTTTGCATTTCCCTTTGATGAACTTCATGAAATTTCTGTCAGCCCTTTTCTCCAGCCCATCAAGGTCCCTTTGAAGGGCAGCACAGCAATCTGGTATATTGACTGCTCCCTCCAGTTTGCTGAGGGTTGACTGTCTCAGTTGTGCAGGTTGGTAATGAAGATGATAAACTATATTCGTCTTACAATCCACACTTGGGCTACACTAGTGTATCACACACCACTGATCACTGTCAGCTGCGCTTCACGCTGCTGCTCACAACCCCTGGAGTCTGGCAGTTCAGCCAGTTTTGAGTCCATCTCACTGTCCACTTACATTGTCCATATTTCATCAGTTTATCTATGAGGATGTGAAGGAAGACAGTGTCAAAAGTAAACGTAAACATCTTCTCATCAACCACTGAGCCTGTCACCTCACTGTAGAACACTGTCAGGTTGTCAGGCATGGTTTCCCCTTGCTAAAGCCATACTGACAATTCCCAGTCATCCCCTTGTCATTACAGTACTTGAAAATGTTTGCATGCTTGTTTGCTCCATCAGTTCCTAGGGACTGAGATGGTGCTGACTGGCTTCTGTGTTTCCAATGCCCCCTTCTTGCTTTGAAGAGTGAAAGGCAGCTACACTCTTCTCGTCCTAGGAGTGTCCCCCAGTTACCATGACCTTGCACAGATTATTAAGAGTGGCATAGCAATGACATCAGCCCTCAGCATCTGTGGGTATATGCCATGAGGTCCCATGGACTTGTGTATTTCCAGTTTATGTAAATGTTCCTTAAGCTGATCCTCCTCTACCAATGGTAAATCTTTCTTGCTGCAGACTTCTCTGTTAGTCTCAGGGGCTTGGGATAACTCAGTCTTTTGCATGTCTCAACAGGCACACATTTTTGCTAGATTTCCTTTTGATGTGGAGGGACCCGTAAAATCCCATCATGTTGCCCTCCTGACTGGGCATAAGAAAAGGCTTTTCCCTCATGAGAACTATCCAGCATTGTAACAAAGTGCCTGGAGAGGTAGTGTAGTCTCCATCCTTGGAGGTGTTCAAGATCCCACTGGGTAAACTATTGAGCAGCCTGCTCTGACCTCATAACTGGTGCCACATTCTGCAGAAAGTTGAACTCAAACTAGGTGACTTCCAGAAGTTGCTTTCAACCAGAATTATTCAATGACCTTGTGATTCTAGCTATTATATATACCTTCTGTATTGATATTTTTCAAAGAATAATAATGAGGCATATACTTCAATCATCTATACATTAATAGAATTTTCAAACTTTACAATGTACATATTTCAGGCAATTTTCCTGTCAGAAAGGATCCATCTTGGCAAGAAATTAAATCAGATAACAGTCAAGATAACCTATCAAAGGTTTGTAATCTAATTTTAGCTTCTACTTTCTAAAGATGCATTAGTTAAAGTGGCTAAATTACTGAAATGGTGACATCCTTTTATCATTCTGAATTAATTTGTTGACCTCACTGCAATTATTTTCTATTTGAAATATGAAAAGAGTTTATTATGAAAAATTATTCCTTTGCATATTGTTTAGAGTTGTATGTATTGTTAAAGTTCTATGTCTTCTTGTTAAAGCTTGTATTTATGTAAGATATGGTATTATGCCATTTCTGAGGTAGTAAAAATGTGTTTCTTATCTTGCTGCTGCCAAGCCAATAGGTCATTCATCCCATGGCAAGGTTTCTTTTCTTTATGTTGAAAAATACTGAATTCTACAATGGTATCTTTGACTTAATTGCTTCTTGGAAAACACTTCAGAAGCTCAGATATAATGGAATCCCTGTGGAATTAATGCCGCTGTATGAAACCGTCAGTGGAATTACAGTATATGAAAATCAGAATAAGCTAAGAACCAGGACACCTAACTTGTTGTTTCTTGGCCTTTATATTCTTTGTTTCTCAACCTTGTTTCTGCCTGGCATTTTCATGAGTGTAATGACGGAAATCATTTGGAGATTGCGCTTAAACTGGGTCTTTTTTGCATCATTTGAAACTACTTATCCTTAAGAGATAATAATAAAAGTTAAATATAAACTAGTAATGCAATTAATTTAAATAAATAGTATGTGATCTATAAATTAGAATTATACTCTTTTTAATAGTGACTGTTGTGAACATTCTGAGCAGATTAATCTTATACTGCACTCTTCCACAGCTATCTGTACGTGCCCAGCTTGGCGCTGCGTCACAGAAATTGTTGAAGAAAGGAGAAAGTATTCCTGATGAATTACTAATTGACATCCTATTGGAGGCCATTAAGTATGAAACTGTACAGCTTATTTTCAGTTATTTAGAACTTAGTTATCCAGCTTGTATTCTAGATTCAGATATTTATATTTTTTAAGTTTTTTTTTTAATGCCGGAGTCTTCTAATTTGGAAGTGGAGCTAATTAGTGGTTAGTGTTCATTTTATGCTAGTAGTAGAATGCTAGAAGTAGAGTATGGCCCTAAATATTGCAGACATTATTGCATGCTACTGAAGGTAAGTGAAAATATACATCACTATCACATAGTCATTAAATATAACTAATGTGAATATAAATGTCTTTATTTCATTTATTAGCTGGAAGCTATTCAGCATGTGCTAGTATTTATTTTTTTTTTAGGTTTTGTGAAATGAGTAGTTCAAACATTCATACTTTAGCAGATATGTTACTTATCTTTGTCTACTCTTGTTTGGCAGAAAATTGTCTCAACTACCTAGATGTGCAGTTAGCACTTAAATTCCCACATGAATATCATTTCAGTTATATTACTCCCATTAGTATATTTTAAAATTATGAAATAGATTTTTTCTGTTTGCTACTTCAGTACAAATGTACTGTGTAGTACAAAATAATGTAATTACACCTCTGATCATAGTCTGTGTAGAGAGTGGTTTTGAAAGCTTTTTTTCACTTTTAGTTAGGCTTAATGTTATTTTTCAGATCTAGAATCCATTGCTCTACAGTTCAGGATTTAATGATGTGTGTCATATTCTCTATTCAACAGGATATTTAATATACTGAATTCAGAATGAGACTGCTAGGGCAAGCACTTCCTTAGGTGTTACTATTATGCTATCAATTCACTGTATGAATCTGAAACTTCATTTATTTTTAGACAAATACCACCAGAGAAGGGGTGGATTGTGGATGGTTTTCCGATGACAGTTAATCAGGCAAAGCTATTTGAAAAAGCCTACACTGGCATTGATCCAGAAGCAGAAGATGCAAACTCTGTAAAGCTCTCACTTGTTGCAGATCCTAGAGCCCCTAACAAGCCTCCTGCTACCTCACCTGCATTTGATATTTCTGTGTTATTGGATATTTCAGACACAGTAGTACTGGAACGTGTGGCTAACTTGAAGTGTAAGTTTCCAACTACTTTTACCAAGGTAAAATGACAAGCAGATTTTGGTGGTTGTAAAAGGAAAGTAAAGATGTTTATAGTACTGAAATATCTAAATTGTAAGTACTTGCAACATAACAGCAAACTGCATATTTTAATTAAAATACTCAATTATAACAGTATCTGTCTTTTTCTCTAAAAATTATGAAATCAAAAATTGTTTAGCTTTCTTGACATCTTTCTTCTCCATTTGCAAGTATTTTTTTTCCAGGAGATGCATTTGGAAAGGGATGAAGAAAATGATAAACAAACGAATGTGCCAGCGTTAATTCGCTATTGATTACTGCCTTTGCATTGTCTTCAATTATTCAGTGAACAACCAAAAGCTGACAATTTTGACTGCAAAAGCAAAAACATCAAAAGCTTTTTGAATGATGTTTCACTTCGAGACCACACATTTTTAATTGTGCTTACTCACCTTGGCAAAACATAGGTTATTTTCATGAATTGTCCAAATTATGAGGAGATTCCTCTCCACTGCTTTCACTCCAGGGCTTACATGGCACATAGGTTGAATTAAAGCATCATTACCTTTAGCTTTTATCAATAGGTAGGAGTGAGGATGAGGTAAAATCATTGTTAGCTTTTACTAACAATGCAGTGAAGATGAATGTATGGACGTCTGAAATTCTTGTTAGACCTTGTGTTGCCAAAACACTTTGAAAATGTGATAATAAACGATATAATCTCAGAAATCCAAACAGAATTGATTTCATAAAATGTAATGTGGTTATAGAAAGAGTCAAAAGATCCATTAAAAAAAAAACAGAAATCCATGAAAAAGGGCTTATTTCTAATCAATGAAAGGCTTTTTTAAAATTTTGGAAAGACTTAGAGAGTGAGAGAATACTTTGTCTTCCAATGCAGTGAAATAGCTGCCCACTGATGTGAACAGGAGTAGTTACTTCAAGGATAATTCAGATTAGACCAGCAAAATACCTTCTAACTGTTATAATAGATAAGCCTAAAATAGTCCACCTGCCGGAATGTTCCCCCTCTACAACTGGAGATTTCTATGACTGAAAGAATATATCTGGAAATGTTAGATGATCTTAAATGTCTTCTCCAACCCTAACCGTTCTATGAGTCTATGATTGGCTATGCGTTTAAACAGAGGAAGAGGCAAGACACTGTCTTCAGGTCCTTTCACGCTCAATTTTATATTTCTATCATTTTCTCTGACTTTTCCTTTCTTTTAGGAAAATGGTACCTAGTTTTTGCATGCAGAAATCTAGCATCATGGAACACTGAAATTTTTATTTTGATAATTACCTTACTTGGTGCAAAGAAGTACCTGCATAATTGCTTTTTTCAATATATGCTCATATGTGCTGTTTTCTACACAGCAGATAAATCAAAGCTATCTCAGACTGAACAGGAGAACAAAAATCAAAATCCAGATTCTGTAATCCTGGAGGAGAAGATTGACTTCAGCAGAGACAAGGTGCTACACAGGTGTGTTATACAAAGTACAAAGAAGTTGCTTCAGCCAAATGTTTAGGCATGTAATTAATCGGAATCTCATATGATAGTACTGGCGTGCATAATGTTAAGAATTTGCTTAGGAATTTCTCTAATATGAAGCCTAAAGAGTACATTCATTTTTAGCACAATATAAATAATCCTAGAAGATAAGAATTCAGGTGTTTTGTTTTTCCAGGGTATTATTCAAAGGAGAGGGTTTTTTTTCACATATATATTGCAGGAACCATATGTATACGCGTACGTATATGTATGTATCTATGCATACGTATATCTGACATCTGTCATGGATCATATAACTGCTCTTCTTTTTTTTTCCTATGTTGAAAATGAATGGGCTGATGTGGATGGAGTGTTATTTTGCAAAAATATTGCCTGGATTTGGTTTAGTGTTAAAATAGAGGATCTGCTTTTTCTTTTGTTTATTGTTTTAGTAAAATATTTTCTTTCCATTAGTTAGATTTTAATTTTATACATTAATGTGATTTTTGTAGAATTTCAGGCTTTCTAGATACCTGGCCAAAATTAGAGAAATGGTTTTCAGTCCATCACAATATTCTAGTGAAAGTCAATGCAGAGACAGAAGAAAGGCTTGTGTGTGAAACGGTGAAGGAAATTATAATACAAGAAATTTTCAATAAACAGAATAGAAGTAAGTTTTCCTTTTCCTACTTTTTCGAAGACTTTTTTCTTTATAATTAAAACTAGTACTAATCTGTAACCATATGGAAACATATATTTTACTGGCTTTGAAAGAATTTGGGGATATGTGAGTCAGTGATAACTGTCATGCCAGAAATTTGAAATTCTCTGTTGCGATTTTACTTTTTGAGAGAATATGAACCTGTTTTGCAGAAATGTAAAGGTAGTTTGAGAAAAAGAAAAAAAAATTGTCCATTTTATTTATTTAAATTTAATGACGTAAAGGATTAGTGAATTCAGTCCTTTCTTTCTTGTGTAATTATTACAGCTACCATCTTCAATATATGGGATAGCATAATGGTGTAAGAAAGATGATAATGACTACCTTGTCATTATAGAATCATAGGATCATAGAACAGTTAGGGTTGGAAAGGACCTTAAGATCATCTAGTTCCAACCCCCCCTGCCATGGGCAGGGACACCTCACATTAAACCATGCCACCAAAGGCTCTGTCCAACCTGGTCTTGAACACTGCCAGGGATGGAGCATTCGCAACCTCCCTGGGCAACCCATTCCAGTGCCTCACCACTCTTACAGTAAAGAACTTCTTCCTTATATCCAATCTAAACTTCCCCTGTTTAAGTTTGAACCCGTTACCCCTTCTCCTATCACTACAGTCCTTAATGAGGAGTCCCTCCCCAGCATTCTTACAGACCCCCTTCAGATACTGGAAGGCTGCTATGAGGTCTCCACGCAGCCTTCTCTTCTCCAGGCTGAACAGCCCCAACTTTCTCAGCCTGTCTTCATACAGGAGGTGCTCCAGTCCCCTGATCATCCTCATGGCCCCCCTCTGGACTTGTTCCAACAGTTCCATGTCCTTTTTATGTTAAGGACGCCAGAACTGCACACAATACTCCAGGTGAGGTCTCACGAGAGCAGAGTAGAGGGGCAGGATCACCTCCTTCAACCTGATGGTCACGCTCCTTTTGATGCAGCCCAGGATACGGTTGGCTTTCTGGGCTGCAGGCGCACACTGAAGCTGGCTCATGTTCATTTGCTCATCGAGCAACACCCCGAAGTCCTTCTCCACAGGGCTGCTCTGAATCTCTTCTCTGCCCAACCTGTAGCTGTGCCTGGGATTGCTCCGACCCAGGTGTAGGACCTTGCACTTGGCATGGTTAAACTTCATGAGGTTGGCATCAGCCCACCTCACAAGCGTGTCGAGGTCCCTCTGGATGGCATTCCTTCCCTCCAGGGTATCAACCGAACCACACAGCTTAGTGTCATTGGCAAACTTGCTGAGGGCGCACTCAATCCCACTGTCCATGTCAGCAACGAAGATGTTAAACATGACCGGTCCCATCCCCGATCCCCACTCGCTACTGGTCTCCAGCTGAACATTGAGCCATTGACCACAACTGTTTTTGTCAAGTTATAGTCATCTATCATCATCAGCTTAAAAGCGTGGATAACTTGGAGTGGTTTTTGCATGTGTTTTGGTGCATCTTTTTTCCTATTTTCCTTTTAATCATTCAAAAAGAAAGAGCCACCTAAAGAAAGGAAAAATGATTACATACCCAAGGGAAAAGATACCTCAAATAAGCTAGAACCAGTAGACTTCTGAATAATCATTTTTTTTCTCTGTAATTATTACAAGAAAGTCTTGATGTGTCTTCTACCACCCACCCCCCCCACCAAAACCAACAGCAAACAAACAAACAAACAAAACCTGTAATAGCTTGAAAAGCACTCCTAACAGTTATAGCAGTAAAAATTTAGACCACTGCTCCTACACAAGGAGTTCCAGTTCATTGGCTTCTGCTGGAGTCAGTGGCAGAATTCCTATTGATGCAAATGGAGTTGAAAATTTCTGGTTAGAAACCAGCTATTTTGCAGAAGTCCTTTAAGGACTATTTATGTGGAGCAATAATCCCTGCAGTCAGTTAATAATGCCTGATTTTGTGTTTATGTTACTAGATTCCAAGCTGTCCTTCACTATTAGGTTTGTATAGGCAGAACAGAGGTATGAGAATGTATTAATTTGTAACATTCCAGGAAGGACATGGTAAGGCTAAATCCAGAGAATGCAAAATATTTAGCAGAAGCTGAAGCACTTGAAATATTTCATGTGGTTAACAGTTTTGTTCATTTTATAAATTTAAATCAGGAAAATGATAGCAGTTTTTCCATTAAAGCAAGATTACTTTTCAGAGGCAGATTTGTCACACTTAAAGTAAAATAAAATAGATCTACTCTTTAAATATTAAGCTTCCTTCAAACAAAACGATAAGGCTGTTCCAACAGTGGTTTAATGCAAGCCTGTTTATTTTCTTTGTGTATTTTCAAGCAGCAGCAAAACTGGCCAGAGTTCATGCTCATGATTCTGAGCAGATAATTAATGTTAACTTAAAAATCTAGTTGTTGTAGGATCCTTCTGTGGTCACTGAGGAGAAGCTGGTATCTTTCTCAACATCAGTTCAGATCTTAGGGTTGAATCATGCTCTGAAGATGCTGATTACATTCAGTATTGTTTTGCTATACGATAGGTTAGCAGGGTTAGTTTTTCACTTGTTTCTTTCTCTAACATGATCTTTTCTGTCTCTTTTGTCCCCCATTCATCATCTTTCATACTTCTCAGCTTCTCATCAGAGTAAGGTGTATTTTCCATATTAGGCCAGATTTAGCTCAATTTATCTGTTTTTTGTTCAGTGTTTGTTTTTGTTGATTCGCTGTTTCCCAAGTCTAGCACAGAAGCTGTGTTTACAACCATTCTTTAATTAAGCAGGTAGTCCTTGAAATTATAACAGTGACAATGAATCTCAGAATTGTATCAACATCACTGGCTTTGGTTTACCTGGTAAAGAATTTGTTATGTATATGCATATATAATAATTCATTATCTTCCTGTTTTCCTCACAGTGCTGGTTTTAGAAAAGTATCAGTCCTGCAAAATATAAACTTAAATGGAAAGTGATTTTATAACTTTGGCATCACTGATTTGATTTTTATCTTTCTTGATGAACAACCCCTAAATAATGAAATAATTAATCTGTTCCATTATTTTGAGCTAGTCACTAGCATAGATGTCTAAGTCTGTTTACTGATACTTAAAATACTTTTGAAGTTACTAATTGTATGTTCATATAACAAGGATGTGCTAAAGAAATATCACCAGAAAAGATTTCACCAGCTGACGTAAGTAATATGGGTACACATACACAGGAAGACCTGCTTCCTCCTATTCTTATGGAACTACCACCAACTGAGCCAGGATCAGATGAATGGATTTATGTAGATGAACCACTCCCCAAGGTACATTAATTCATGATTGAATGACTTAAATATCAAAGTATATATTTTTCTCAGTAATTTATGTGTATTCTACCTGAATCTTTTGTCTATGTTCTTTTCTTCAATATTTTTCAATGAAAGTTACACTAGTACTGTATTATAAATATTGAAAAATACAAATAATGATTGCTACTAAAATATATGAAATAAGGAAACACATTTTTAAAATGGTGATTTTTTTTGTCTAAATTCTTCACAATGATGAACAATAGCACATGGATGCCAATTTAATGATACTTTTTAATACTATGAAATACTAACATAGTGTTACTAGGTCAGTTTCCTGCCTCTGACAGGGGCCAGTTGTGAATCTCTTAGAAAGAATGTAAGAATGGGGAAAGTGTGCACTGATCTTTCTCCTAGGATACTTTTTTCTAACATGTTTTCCCCTGGGACATCTTCCTAGTTTCCAGTGATCTGAAATTTAGGGGTTTCCTGAGATACTTTTAAATTTGCACCTTTGTGTACTCTCAGAAGAGTATTCTTCCATGATTATGTCTAGTTGCTTTTTTTTGAAGCAATTTACATTTTGATTTCCATGATATAGCTTGTATAATTATGTTCATTCTGGAAAAAAAAATTTTGTCTCTCCACTTTAAACCTGCTGTTTGCCTGGGTCATTTGATGATTCTATTTTCTTGGATCGTGACATACAACGAATAATAATTCTGTATCACCCTCTGAAGGTATGCAAGATGCGACAGACACCTATTACATCTTTGTTTAATTCAGTGTTTCTTTGCTTCTTCAATATAGTCATAATCTGTTTCATTCACCTCATGTGGGCAGTTCATATGTTTAGTCATGATTCTTGCCCTTCTGTCTGTTCTACTGTAATTTTTTGAGATGGGGAGCTGGGACTGCGTGAAGTATTTGAGACTCAAATTTCAAGGCTGCTTAATGTTGCTTTGTATTTTGTTCTGTAACTCGTTTCTTAATATTTACCAGTTTTGCTTTCATGACTGCAGCAATCTAATATATGTTGCATTTACTCTAGTCATGGGCTTTATTTTGTATTTCATGACAGTCAAATGTCACTTTTGCAACACTATAGACAGTTGGCATAGGTTTCTACCAGCTTTAGCAGTTGTGTACCATCAAATTTTGATACTTAAGTGCTCACTTAGGATCTTCACTTAGTTTTTGAGCATTTCCAAAACCACAGATATTGGAATATTCTGCTGGAATTTCTCATGTATTTTGAGTACTTCCACTTCTTCCCAAATAAATCCATGGATAAAACTATATGTTGGTACAGTGTCTATAATCAGTTATAAACAGTTGTAAATCACAAGAAATACACAGCAAAGAAAAACTGTAATATGATTTCATGAGATAATCTTATATTTGCTAATGCTACAGTTAAATGGGTTGCCAAGAAATATATTGATTAATTTTTATGTTTTTTAAAAATTCACAGGAGATACCTGGTTTTTTAGTACCTTACTGGGAAATGGTAGAAAATACATATATGAATACCATCAAAAGTATACTTAGATGTCTAAGAGATGAACAGCATTCGGTGATTTATTACTTAGCAGATGTTAGGTAAGTAGAAATAGTAGCTAATTACAGTAATATTAGTGTTTCCCATGAGCATACATCTTTTAACTCCAAAATCATTTTTACCATAATTCACAGAAAAAAATTCCAAGATTATTTGAAGCATCCTGATATTAAGCAGGAGTTTGTATCTCTGTGGCAATCAGATTTTAATTCAATTGCTGATGACCTGCGAGAAGATGAGGAAGCAAAAGCAGAACTACACCAAAGAGTTACTGTAAGTAAATAGCAAAAGTTAAAATATTATTTCATTGTATATAGAATCATTGAATCAGACTAGTTAGGGGTGGAAAGGACCTTAAGATCATCTAGTTCCAACCCCCCTGCCACTGGCAGGGACACCTCCCACTAAACCATGTCACTCAAGGCTCTGTCCAACCTGGCCTTAAACACCGCCAGGGATGGAGTATTCACATCTTCCTTGGGCAACCCGTTTCAGTGCCTCACCACCCTCACAGTAAAGAACTTCTTCCTTATATCCAATTGAAACTTCCCCCATTTAAGTTTTAGCCCTTTACCCTGTGTCCTATCACTACAGTCCCTGATGAAGAGTCCCTCCCCAGCATCCTTACAGGCACCCTGGAAGGCTGCTATGAGTTCTCCATGCAGCCCTCTGTTCTCCAGGCTGAACAGCCCCAACTTTCTCAGCCTATCTTCATACGGGAGTTGCTCCAGTCCCCTTATCATCCTTGTGGCCCTCCTCTGGACTTGTTCCAACAGTTCCATGTCCTTCATATGTTATCTGAGTTGGAAGCTGCCAGCTGTGAATCCTGAAAAAACAAATTTCTCTGATATCAGCTGGAAAATATAAAAATCCACCCCATTTTGTGGTGTGTGAAAAATTCCTCAAAGGCCTACAGCCTAAAGGGCATCCAAGGCTTTGGGATCATGGTCCAGCCTCAGAATCACTGTTGATAAAATATGCTTGAGCAGTCCATCTCTGTTACGCTGTCTTTCAGTAATTTCTCCATTTTCTGTCTTACTCTTTTGCTATCACCCAACATAGTCAGTCACTGTGGGTTAGGCCGCACTACTTGTCTTGTTCCAAATAGAACAGGACACATTCATCCATTTTTTCTTTTTTTTCACCATCTTACTACAAGGAAGCTGATCCATTTAACGCTCTTCTCTTCCTGCTGCCTCTTGTTACACAGAAGTCTGTCACACCATTTCCATGCAGAGATGGCAGTGGGGAACAGAATGGTTGCGTGCATGTTGTATCCTTATAAGATCTTCCGTGCTGTCAGTAAGCTACATACTGCTGCTATTAGATCTACTTTACTGGTTGAAGAGCCCTTAGTTATGAAGAATGTTGAAGAAAAAATTGCATGAAGTTATCCAAACTAATTGGAAGAATACTGAAACTCTGACATACTCAGAATTTTTCTAATATTTTTTCCCCTTTCTGTGTTCTTGTTGTAAGTGTAATAGAAAACAATTCAAGTGGGAAATTGTTGGTGCATTTGAGAGCTTAGCTATTCGTATTCTTGTATCTTTGTCTAGCTTAGATAGATCTCTGCCTGAGGAAAGCAAAACAGCCTACACATTCATCTCATACCTTTTATTATTCTCTCTGGCACATTTGTAAAGCTACTTTTGTCACCTTTATGTACGAACATGACTCGTTAATCAGTCTTTCACAATTATAACAACGAAAAAAAGCACCAGATGGGAAGATGCCTTATGCACAGGCAAAAAAAAAAATAAATAATAAATATGAAAAAGATATTTAAGTTTTCTTTCATAGTTATTTCTCATATTTCATAGAATCATAGAATCATAGAATAGTTAGGGTTGGAAAGGACCTTAAGATCATCTAGTTCCAACCCGCCTGCCATGGGCAGGGACACCTCACGCTAAACCATATCACCCAAGGCCTCATTCAACCTGGTCTTGAACACTGCCAGGGGTGGAGCATTCACAACCTCCCTGGACAACCTATTCCAGTGCCTCACCACCCTAACAGGAAAGAATTTCCTCCTTATATCCAACCTAAACTTCCCCTGTTTAAGTTTGAACCGGTTACCCCTTGTCCTATCACTACAGTCTCTAATGAAGAGTCCCTCTCCAGCATCCTTGTACACCCCCTTCTGGTACTGGAGGGCTGCTATGAGGTCTCTACGCAGCCTTCTCTTCTCCAGGCTGAACAGCCCCAACTTCCTCAGCCTATCTTCATATGGGAGGTGCTCCAGTCCCCTGATCATCCTCGTGGCCCCCCTCTGGACTTGTTCCAACAGTTCCATGTCCTTTTTATGTTGAGGACACCAGAACTGCACACAATACTCCAGGTGAGGTCTCACAAGAGCAGAGTAGAGGGGCAGGATCACCTCCTTTGACCTGCTGGTCACGCTCCTTTTGATGCAGCCCAGGATACGGTTGGCTTTCTGGGCTGCAAGTGCACACTGCCAGCCCATGTTCATTTTCTCATCAACCAGCACTCCCAAGTCCTTCTCTGCAGGGTTGCTCTGAATCTCTTCTCTGCCCAACCTGTAGCTGTGCCTGGGATTGCTCCGACCCAGGTGTAGGACCTTGCACTTGGCATGGTTAAACCTCATAAGGTTGGCATCAGCCCACCTCACAAACGTGTCAGGGTCCCTCTGGATGGCATTCCTTCCCTCCAGCGTATCAACCGAACCACAGAGCTTGGTGTCATCGGCAAACTTGCTGAGGGCGCACTCAATCCCACTGTCCATGTCAGCGACGAAGATGTTGAACAAGACCGGTCCCAACACTGATCCCTGAGGGACACCACTCGTTGCTGTTCTCCAGCCGGACATTGAGACATTGATCACAGCTCTTTGTGTGCAGCCATCCAGCCAGTTCTTTATCCACCGAGTGGTCCATCCATCAAATTGATGTCTCTCCAATTTAGAGACAAGGATGTCGTGTGGGACAGTGTGGAACGCTTTACACATGTCCAGGTAGATGACATCAACTGCACTCCCCCTGTCCATCAGTTCTGTAGCCCCATCATAGAAGGCCACCAAATTGGTCAGGCAGGATTTCCCCTTAGTGAAGCCATGCTGGCTGTCACCAAGCACCTTATTGTATTTCATGTGCCTTAGCATGCCTTCCAGGAGAATCTGCTCCAAGATTTTGCCAGGCACAGAGGTGAGACTGACTGGTCTGTAGTTCCCTGGGTCATCCATTTTCCCCTTCTTGAAAATGGGGGTTATATTTCCCTTTTTCCAGTCATCGGGAGCTTCACCTGACTGCCATGATTTTTCAAATATGATGGCCAGTTGCTTAGCAACTTCATTTGCCAGCTCCTTCAGGACCCATGGATGGATCTCATCAGGACCCACAGACTTGTGCACATTCAGGTTTTTAAGATGGTCTCGAACCAGTTCCTCTCCTACAGTGGGCCCAAGGTCTTCATTCTCACAGTCGCTGCGTCTGCCTTCCAAGACTTGGGTGGTTTGATCAGAGCCTTTGCCAGTGAAGACCAAGTCAAAAAAGTCATTCAGAACCTCAGCCTTCTCCAAATCCTGTGTAGCCAGTTCTCCCAAGAGCTTCCTGAGGGGGCCTACATTCTCCCTATTCTGGTTTTTATTTGCTATGTATCTGTAGAATCCCATCCTGTTATCTTTAATACCTCTAGCTAAGTTTAATTCTAACTGGGCCTTAGCTTTCCTAACCTGGTCCCTAGCTTCCTGGACAAAAAATTTTATTTTGTGTTTCAGGACTTAAGAGATCTTCTTTGGAATATTTGTGATAACCGAAGGGAAGCAGCAGAGCAGGAACGTACTGATATCATGAATGATGGCTGGTTACCAGATCGTAGGGGGATTGCAGTGAACCATTTCTTATCACTTATGCAGGTATGGATCTACTATGGAGTCTGCAGTGAGGACAGTGACTTAGGTTTGAAGGACTTAAGTAAGCTGCAGAGCAATTTCATATGGTTGGATCCAAATAAGTGAGGGATGGAGAATTAGATAAGCAAATGTTCATGCCTCCTCTGAATTTATCTAGAAAGCTAAAAGACGAAACGTAGACATTCATACAGTTAACTGTTTAGCAGGCAGAGTAGGTTAAGAAAAACACTACTGTTTTAGTCCAAGCCTTCAAGCTTTTAATTGGTAGTGTATAGTCTTAGTTTTGTAGTTTTATCAGTCCAGTGAATCATCTGAATTTTGTAACATGTATGTTACAGCTGTTTATCCTTCTGTGGTTATACTGACATCTACTCTTAATTTACACATTCCGTCATTCAGTGTAGGCCCACTTGCTGTTAAGGTTGTCCTGTGTTTCCCGTATCACAAAATTATTGTAACTGTACCAATGTGGCTTGAAATTTTACCTACAGACTGAAAAAAAAACGCAAGGAATGGTTTTGATTATGTGATGTCATTTGTTACTCTTAAGAAAACCTGTTCCAATATGACCCAGCTTTCACATTGCTAACTTAAAGTTTTCAAGAGACCATCTTCAATTAGTTGATTCACCCCTCACCCACATGAAGTCCTTCCTTTCATTCAGCCTGATGTGGATTACTTCAGGTCCTGAAGTAAAGTAAGATTTCCCTGTGGCTGCTGTTCTAGGTGCATAATTTCAGTTTAGGGCTGAACTGAACTGGAATAGACCAGTCTAGACTAGACAGACTTTTCTGTAAACTCAGGGACCATTGCATGAAAGTTTTGGCAATTTTAAAGAAGACAATGAAAACAGTACTTTAAACACATGCCATATGAAGCTACTTTAGCTGAAAAATCAGGCCTAATCATCTTAGGGTGGGCTTTCTGCCCTTTAATTTTCAGTGTCAGTTTTTAATAAAAAAGGGAACCACTCTCTTATCTCGTGAATTTTGTGATAATTTAGGTAACATTTCTGAAGTAGTCAGTTGCTACTGGCTTAAAGACTTAAGGCCACCAACTTAAAAGAAGTCAAAATATCAAGTAACTGCTGACTAAACCATATTCATTCTGTAATTACAATATTTATAGGGCCAAGTATTTAAAAATTTATCTTGAATTATGTGCACAAGGGAGCCAAAAGTAATATTGCTGAGCTTAAATCTTTTATTTTTCTACTTTTATATTCTTATATAATTTTGCAATCCTTATTCTCTTGTAGCCGAATTTCATGGGCACATACAATGTGGTCCAGAGTAGATTCACTATGAATCTAATTTGATCTGGCTTCTGTGGATATGCAGACTAACCATTTAAAATTACAAATACATATATTAAACATATAGAAGTTTAATAAAGAAAAATGCAAAAGAAAACATTTTTAATTTCTTTACTTTGTATATACTACATAAAATAAAGGAGCTGTTAATGCTAAAACAACAGAAATAAAACTCTGATAACTAAATCTTTACGTTATGACTTTGAGCAACAGCCAAAAATAGGCTGCTTTGGTGTTGAGCTCTCCATCTCTGGGTTTTTCTGTGGGAAGTTACATATATTCTCCAGGTGTCTTTTGTTACTGTGTGAACACATAGATTTTTATAAATGCCGTTTATCAGATTTCTTTCCACCTTTCTGTGTACACACAATTATACTAGAAGATATTTTCTCCTTAATTTATGGATAAGTTTACACCACAAAGGTTTTATCCTTCGTTTTGTGAATGTGGTTTTGTGCATTTTCCCATGAATACTTAGCACTGTTTTGTCAGTTAGAAGCTAACGCCATACTGTATCAATAAATCAAAAGCTGACAGGTGTGAAATGTTTTTTGAATCTTCTTCCAAGATGATTCATTTAAAGATCTTCAATACACTTAGGTCTGTTGATTTCTTTGGTCCAGCAATAAAAAAATCTATTGCTTTTAAAATTTTCTCAATCGTTCAACCCTTTGTATGTTATGCCATTAAGTATTTTATTTCTTTTGAATAAAAAGATCTATATAGTTTATTGATGTTAGCATACTTACTACTATAGAAATATATACATAAAAGTATGTTTTAATTAAATTTAATGCATCAAACATTATTTTTAAAATATTTTTTCCTGTTCTACCAACTAAGAGTTTTATTAATCCTTAAAACTACCAGTGTGATGACATTATAGATGCAAATAGAAGTATTTTGAATGCACTATAAATTTTCAAATAGGGTTGTGTCTGTTTGCTCTCCCTCACACTCTTATGATTTAGAATCACTTCTATTATGTATTTAAAAATGTAACAGAAGTTTTTTCTGTCATGTTTCGAATTGCAGTATTTCTATCTTTTTTTTTTTTTTTTGAGGTTGAAGTGGATCGTTTTCAAGATACAAAGAGACTTCTTCATGATTATTATAGAGCAATGGAAGGAAAAATCCCAACTGAGTACAGTCAAGATTTTACTAGGATCCCATTGCTAGATATTACGGATTCAGAGCAAAAGGAAGATCAAAACAACTCAAGAAGGTAGAAATACATTATTAAATTATAGAAATATCAACAAATATATTGTACTGATAGTTTTGTGGGTGTATGGGGAAATATGTGTGTGAAATAAGAATTTTTAAGTAGGGATTATAGTAAATTCATGAGTCTTGAATCATCGTGTATGTTAAGTATATAGATTTTTTTACTGATTTACCTATGTAATTTTCATTAACACATCTCAGAATTATAAAACATTTTAAAAGCTGCCTTAGAAAGGCATCTGATGTAGAAAATTTTTCTACTTCCTCTGTGCTGCTGATAATTTTCAGCATAATCTTCTCGTAAATAAGTTAAACATTATTACAGAACTTTAAAAGGTTTAAAAAATAGGTAATTAAATGGGTTATGTAATGAAAAATATAAATCAAAGGAGTCTTCAAAGATGCGTGCTATATTAGAAGTTAAAGCCATACCATCAAGTGATTTCACAATATAAAAAATGCCGTCAATAATGACTCCTGCTTTTTTTGTTGATAATGACACCTGCTTTTTTAAAATACTTGCAGTTCATTTAGAAACTATCTGAGTAATGAAGCTGTGCTTCTAGCCCATGTGGAATATATCAGCAGATCAGACAATCATTTGGCATAGTTTTATCCATCTATTACTATTCCTTAGCTTCTGTAGTTAAACTAGACAGTTTTCTTGTCATCCACATATTTAACCACTTTTGGTCATAAGGAAGTTCATCCCTTTTCTGTTGGTATGGCAAATTTTGAAAATAGCATTCTCTTAGCATATTCTCCAATGTTTTTATAAATTAACACTTTTTTAATAAAGGGGATGTAAGCAATGCCTTATATTTAATTTTTAAGGATTCCTCTAGTTTCTTGGAAAATGCCTGTACCAGAAATACTTATTACCAAATCAAAAACCAAGGGATCTCTGCAGAAGAGTGCTAAGGATGATAATTCTGAAAATGGAGTGGCTACTGTTAGAAAAGACGAAAGTCTTATTACTGATACATGGCAAACAGCAACAACAACAGTATCAAATATGGTAGGAATGTTTTTACATTTTACATGTATTTACTGAAATATTTCTGCATCAGACCCAGAAAGCCTCACATTCAGTAGGCAGCCTAAACACACAGCCTTCTCACTGTATATCTCAATTTCAAGCCTCTTGCTCCACCACTGATATTTCTATGAAATATGTTTGTGTTTCTACAAGGAAAATATTGGAATTGTGTATTATCAGCACCGCTATTTATAACTGGCCCAATCATTCCATTACTGAACTATTTTGAATGTTGACTTTATATGTCTGCTTCTTCCATGGTAAATTCTCCCGCTATCCCTCAATAGAAGCAGGAGAAGAGGGACAAGTTTTATTTTGTGATGCAGTGTTTGCTCAAACCTTTCACAACTTCAAAGGCTATGGTTACATTGGTTTTTATATATAGCTGGAAGTAAATTAAGCTGGCTTTTCAAATGGTTGGTTTCTAGGTTAACTTCTTCTTTCCTCTCTCTTTGATCATTTTAATGTAAACAAATATCTGCACCCTTACAGTGTAGCTGTAGTCTTGCTTTGAATACTGTTGAATCTTGCATTTCTCACTTTAGCCTAAAGTACAGCTAATGGGTTTCAAGAATTAAAACCATTATCTCTGTCTTGCATTTTTGCTGTAGAATTTTATATTTGATTCATGAAAAATTAATCAATTTAATTGGGTAATATGTTCAGTTCTTGCCCCCTCACTACAAGACAGAAACTGAAGTGCTGGAGCAGGTCCATAGAAGGGCAATGAAGTTGGTGAAGGGTTTGGAGCACAAGCCTGATGGAAAATGACTGGGGGAACTGAGAGCGTTTAGTCTGGAGAAAAGAAGACTTAAGGGGTCCTTATCACCTCAAAGGAGGATGGAGTGAGGAGGTGGCTTGTCTCTTCTTCCAAGTAACAAGGAATAGGACAAGAGATAATGGTCTCAAGCTGCAACATGGGAGGTTTAAATTGGATATTAGGAAAAACTTCTTCACTGACACGATAATTAGGAATTGGAACAGGCTTCCAAGGGAAGTGATGGAATCACTGCCCCTGGAGGTGTTCAGAAACCATGTAGAGGAGTCCCTTAGTAACATAGTTTAGAATAGAAGCAAAGAATAGAATCATAGAATAGTTAGGGTTGGAAAGGACCTTAAGATCATCTAGTTCCAACCCCCCTACCATGGGCAGAGACACCTCACACTAAACCATCTCACCCAAGGCTTCGTCCAACCTGGCCTTGAACACTGCTGGGGATGGAGCATTCACAACCTCCCTGGGAAACCCATTCCAGTGCCTCACCACCCTAACAGGAAAGAATTTCCTCCTTATATCCAATCTAAACTTCCTCTGTTTGAGTTTGAGCACATTACCCCTTGTCCTGTCACTACAGTCCCTGATGAAGAGTCCCTCCCCAGCATCCTTACAGGCCCCTTTCAGATACTGGAGGGCTGGTATGAGGTCTCCACGCTGCCTTCCCTTCTCCAGGCTGAACAGCCCCAATTTTCTCAGCCTGTCTTCATATGGGAGGTGCTCCAGTCCCCTGATCATCCTCGTGGCCCTCCTCTGGACTTGTTCCAACAGTTCCATGTCCTTTTTATGTTGAGGACGCCAGAACTGCACACAATACTCCAGGTGAGGTCCCACAAGAGCAGAGTAGAGGGGCAGGATCACCTCCTTCAACCTGCTGGTCACGCTCCTTTTGATGCAGCCCAGGGTACGGTTGGCTTTCTGGGCTGCAAGCACACACTGAAGCCGGCTCATGTTCATTTTCTCATCGAGCAACACCCCCCAGTCCTTCTCCGCCGGGCTGCTCTGAATCTCTTTTCTTCTTTAGTGGTGGACTTTGCAGTCCTGGGGTAGATGTTGATGATCTTAAAGGTCTTTTTCAACCTAGCTGATTCTATGATTCTGTGATTCTATTATATGTCCTTTATTTTATTTAAGTATTTTCAGAAAGTATCGGCTATGCAAATCAGTACTTGCACAGCGTTAATACTATGTACTTTCCTATGTGTGACTATGGTGTCAAGGTAACAGCTGAAATACAGTTTAGAGAAACTGAAGAAGAAGAAGAAGGTCAGCAGCTAAATCTGAAATCTTCAAAGCCATCAAGCAAAGCTACCAAAGATTCCGAAAAGCAATCTCCAAAAAAGGCTCCTAAGAAGAAAGGTATTTGAAATGCAGAACTTGTTTTAGCAGTGCTTGAAATTGCTGAAATGTAAACATATGACTAATACAGAAAAAAAGACAGCCAAGGCATTTCTTTTGGATTTAATTTCTCTTTTGAAATGTCCAATGAATGTGACATGTCAATGTGAAAAGCTGATAGTGATAAAGCAGTGTGGAGGCTTTTGAAAGACAATTGCATTTATTTAATCATATTAATGATTATTATGCGTTTACTACGTGCAAATTATGATTATTATGTGCAAATAAATATTCTAAATAGAACCTAGAAAGTAAAGATTAATTTTTTTCTACGTGCTGTTTTGGAATTGAATAGTTAGAAATAGTTCATCAAATTAAATAAAATTCCATTAAATTCCATCTACTTTACAGCCATAAGTCAGATATTAAAAGTACAGGAATAGAATGGATAAATTATCCAATACCTTAAGGTATTCTGAAATTAATTTGTCAGCCATATAGTAGCATGGATCTGTCAATGTCCATTATTATTATATGTAACTGTAACATACTGTAAATAATGTAAAATCTAATGGCATATATAGTCCTAAACCCCAGGCTCCCATAGGGGTAAATCTTGCTCATAGGCCTGGCAAGAATCTGTCCAAAATACAAAATTAATCTGTAAAAGATAAACAGACCTTAAAAAGCTATCTCTTTAACCTAACAATCCAAGCCATCTGATGGAAGGAGTTCTGGCATGCAATGCTGTTTATATATTTTTTCATAAATCATTCCTTAAGCATGTACTGCTTTAAGTAACTTCCTCTTTCCGCTGTAGCTCCAGCAGGAAGCAAGGCTAGTACCCTATGCCTAAGCATTGGGCTTTTTGTGAAGACTTTGTACACAGCAAAAGAGGGGCTTAAGCCCTGTGGATGTGAGGGAAGCCTGAAATTCAGGGACTTAATTTCCAAGTCAGAAAGCTGCAACTGAGAGTTATTATGCATAAAGCAGTTTTGGTTTTGTTTCTTTTTTTTTCTTTGAAAGGCATTTGATTCAGTGCTCTCTGGTTGATTCTCCTCATAATAGGATGAACAAGTATAGCCACATAGATGCCTAATTTGTGGCCCACAGGAATCCCAATGTGCGCTTAGCATCTCAATCCAGCCAAGGGAGTATCAGATTTTCCAATTTCTAGAAAAACTTTGTAATAAAAAACCAGTAGCTATCACCTAGTGCATGCTAAGTGGTTAGGTTGGGGTTTGTGGTTTGCTTCTTGGAACTAAATTTTTTGTTCAGACATAGATGCCTTACAGTTCTTTCACAAACCTATAAAGTGAAAGAACTGCAACTAGAACTCAGCTGTGCATTCCTCATGGTAGAAGATGAGGTATCAAATGATGTATCTGTAATTAAAGTATTGATTTTGATTTCATGACAAACACAGTATTACAATGGTCCTTCTGTAACAGAAGAGTTGCCTAGGGTACAGCTATAGGCTAGTAAGTGCATGATACGAATTATCAGGTGTGATTTTATCACTTTGAGATTTGACCATTTGCTTTATGTTGACCCTCTGTGTCATGTAAATTTTGTTTTTTTTTTCTTTTTTCCTGTAACATTTCCATCTGTTCTTCTTTTCGGACAAAGCAGTTACAAATATTTGAATATTTTTGAGTAACAGTCAAAGTGTTGTTACTGCAGAATTTCATGCAGTCTTTGAAAAGTTGATAAAATACCTTTACAATGTCTGTTCATAGGTGTGTAAGTTAAAGCAAGATGCAAAAGCAGCTAACAGAATGGTTTAGAAAAAGCATGAAATAACATAACTCTTTTTTTCCCCGACATGATTTTTTTTTAAATAACATTATTATTTTCACTGCTTTGATGGCAGCCAATGACATTTACTACCATAGTATTTTTACTACAGTTTGCTAAACATGAATTTGCTCCACAAGAAACAGCTGTCAATCAGAAGAGGTTTATTTATGTGCTGGTTGTGATAAATCAGTAGATTTTAGGATCAAAGAGGACATTCTGACCATCTAGGATCACAACAGAGACACACGTGCTCATTCATGATTTTCTATTTAAAAATACATTTTAGGATGTAATTTAACCAATTTTAATACAGTTGTATGTGCTGAAGTAATTTTATGTAGTATTAATCTCAGCATGTCTTGCAAATATCAATTACAATTGAAGAAATCTAAATATGTTATTTTGACACAAGAGACCTGAGTAATCACTTTTGTATTCTCATACATGGTCGCATCAAGTAAGTTGGAAAGTGCCATTTTTCATTTAAAACAATATGCTGTCTTGTAAGTGTTTCTGTTTGGATACACAAGCTTATTACAAAAAGTCCAAAGACTGTGGAGGTCTGTTTTCCTGCAGGGCTATCTTCTACTGCATCTATGGGTGAAGACGGTACAGTTCCTATAAACCCAGAAGAGTTAAAGAAACAAGAACTGGCACTTAAAATAAAGCAAGAATATTTCAGTGCCTTGAAACATGAGGGTATGTTACTGTTTGGTTACTTAGATTGGGGAGTGATTGTTATTCCTAATTTGGGTAGTGTCATAGTCAAAACTAGCTAGAAACCCTAGGCAAAATGGATAGACAAGTGAAAAAATAAGGGGGAGAGAAAGGAGTGCCTGAAGAAATCATGATTTTTCTTTTGTTAGGACGGTAGTTATCAATGATTATGTGTTAAATATATTTAAAATAGAAATGTGTTTTTCGTTCTTCTTTTTGTTGTCTTTCACTTGATTTAATTTAATTTAATTTAATTTTCCATGATTAAGCAAGTATTCCTCATGAGAGAGTAAATTTCACATTAGTGGCTAGCCGTTCTTCAGTATTCGACTGAGTTGAATTTGATATTTGAAATGTTTTGATCTGGGAAAGAATTTGATGGTAATTATATATTTATTAATGCTCTTCTCCCTGATTCCCTCTTCCTCAAGCTGCATGGGATTCAAGCAACAAGACTCAGCTTCTGTTTATTCTTCCAAACTCCTTTCCCAACAGTCCCTTCAAAAAACTATGTACTATTCAGTCCTTCTATCTCTTTGTCCATGTTACTGAATAACTTCCAATCCGGCTGGTCAATTTCAGCAAAAAGTAGATATCTGAAACAGATAAGTCCCAGACTGTAAATGGGTTGATTTTTTTTTTTTTTGTTTATAGGTGTTTAGACTAGAGCAAAGAGCCCTCTTTCTCACTAAGGAGAAGATAAAACCTGTTAGAGATTCTGTTTGTCAAGAGCTGGCAAGCCCCTCATCATGTATTTACCCTCATGGCAGGCTAACTTTTGCATAGTACTTACTATGAAAATTAGAGGGCAAACTTCAGTTAATAAACAAAACACATATTCATAAGGCTTCTTTAGGTCCCCACCAAATGCTTGTACACCTACCACTTTCAACACGGTTTAATCCAAAAGCATTTTAGGAATAAATAATCTTAAGATTTTAGGATAGTGAGGAGAGGAATGGTAGTAAGTTTGAGGATCTTAACAGTATGAAGATAAATCCTAGTGAGTCATTGACACATTTTATTTTCTGAGTTTGCTTCATTTTCATCTTGTATTTAACAAAAAAGCCCACATAAGAACTGAAGGAAGACTAAATATGTTGTGATAAATCAACTGCACAGACACATAGCTGGTACATTTGAGGATCATAGTTTCATTTACAACTATGGTAACTGATTCTTGAGCTTTTGGTTATCCGGATGCACAGAGACTAGCAAGTCACTAGTAGTGGACAGTTGCTAAGTTTTTAATATTGATTTTATATTCCTTTTACTCTGTTACTGTTAAAAGAGCAGCTTTATGAGTGTGCTATACCTGCTTCTGAAGATGCAGGAACCCAAAAGTTGCTGTACACTTACCTTTGTATCATACTGATAACAGCTACTAAAAGAAAATACAGAGAAGTCACAAATAAGGCAGCCTGTATTAAAGAAAAGTGACTAGACAGGCACAGAGCATCTTCGGGTTGCTTAGAAGCTTTAGTTTTTGCCATCAAATAAAATAACCCTATTTCAGACCCAGATCCATTCTATATTTAAAATTTTGGACTACTACTATTTCTTGCTCAAAACTGAAAGTGTATACAATTGCATTCTACTGTGAACTAAAAAATAGCATGAAAAGGCCATGCCTTATATTTTTCAGGGTCCATCTTTCCACACTGGTTGCCGAAAGAGTTTCAGCACCAAACCGAAGTATTTTGAAAACTTGGCAGCATATAGAATAAAGATCATAATATAAATAATTTTACAGTCTAGAACTTTGAACTTACTGTACCTCTTACTATATAACATTAATTCTTTAAAAGATTCTGAAGTGTAGAAAGTCTAATACAAAGAAGCCTCATCTTGAATCTGAATTTTCTTTCAGCATTGAAAATGATCTCTAGCTACTCATATTCATTTCTTACTCTTCTTTTGTAAGGCTTTGAATGTCTTCCAGTGCCTGTTCCGTGTACACTCAATACATTACCTTAGCTGCCTTTCCATCCACTTGGCATCCTTTTCACTTTGGACATTGCTGACTTGTTCACATTTCTTGTCCTTTTATATCCTTCTTTTTAAACATTAGCCTTTTAGTGACAGCTTTTTTTTTTTTTTTTCCCCTCCGTTCTTCGTATTCTGAAAACTAAAAATAATGAAATTCTTAATGGTTTTAAAAGTTACATGTAAATATGCATAACTTTGGTAGAGGTGAAGTATTTTCTCAGTGCTCACTAACCAAACTCGTTTCTAACCTGAGTTTTAGGTATAGAATAGTTATATGTGGGAAGCTTGGAACAAAACCAGTAAGGTTAATTTTAAAGGTCTGGAAGTTAGAAACAAGAAAGCAAACTTTTATTGTGACTACCATACAGAACGATTTAGATGTGTTTTCTTTAAAATTTATCCGTAACGGTTTACTCACACATGCATCATTAATCTTATAGGTCGGTTGCTGTTTAGGGTTAATTTAGTTCAATGTCACTGCCTACTTAAACATCCTCTGCACCTCTGTATTAGTTTCAATAAGGTGTTTGCTATTTTGTGAATTCTGATACCCATAGGAGACACACTTTGGTAAAATACATGGTGCATTATGGATGATCTGAAAAATAATTCAAGAATATGATTAATTGAATAAATAACTTACTGCTCAAAGACAAGTCAACATGTTAAACTGTAGGTGCTTAATACTGAGAATTTTTGTCAAATTTTATAAATAGTAATTATTATGACATTCCTGTTTGAACAGAGGCAGCCATAAAATTTCGACTAGAACTTATAAAAGAAAAAGCTTTAGCATTTGTTGAAGAGCTAACGATGAAAGCTGAAGAGGCTTATAAAGATATGGAAGAGTGGCTTGGATCCAGGTTCTTGGCAGAAATGTCCTGGTAACGTATAGCTAATTTTAAACAGGAACCTTTTTTTTCAAACTAGGCTATGCAAGTAAAGATAGTTGTTTATATAAACCTGGAAAAAATGTATAAAATAATAATTTAATTTAATGAACTGGTAATTAATTTCATCTTAAATACCTGAATGGTAATAGTTCATTTCTTGAATGATAAGAAGGTTCTGCTGGCAGCAGTAGAGATAAGTATCAGTTCTGCTGGTTTTGTAGTCTACAGATGTAACATATTTATGAGCATCAGCAAACAACCAGTTATTTCATTTAGTAGAAGCCACTGTGTCATTCTAGTGACACTTCTTCACCACTTCAGATTGTGGTGTTATTTTTTTTCCTGTGCTTTACATATGCTTTAAAATTCCACTTACTGTTATTATCACCAGGTATAATATTTCTCAAAATTATTTCAAGGTCCATAAGAAAAAATAAAGTAAATAAAATGTGCTTGTGACTACCATATTTAGGGCATCTGGCATAGGACAACCTATCCATATAATTAAAAGATTTTATTCTCCAAAAGAAAGAGGTCATTTTTCCTTTTGGAAAATCTTTCTTGCCTGTAATAACTTTTGAAGCATACCTGGGACAGTGCTAGTTGATCCATGTCAGGGCAAGCCAAAGAGACGAGACACGAAATGTAGGATGTGAAGGCTCTAACAGTCAGTAGCTCAAAGAGGGTGCGCCTCTGCCTTCCAGGCACTTTTATTTGCTCTCTTGACAACAACCACTACGAAAGACACAATATTTACAGAACAGCATGTCCTTTGACCTGACACCCCAGGCCAAAACCTACATCTAGTTAAACATTATAGAAAGCTGACATCTTTCCTTATATGAATTGTACTCGTTACACTTGAAACAGGAGTTCATATGCTTCTCCACAAAGCTACTTTAGAAAGTGCTTTGTGCATCTAGGATTTAGAGGCAGAGCAGAAAATAAGGCATTGAAATAAGACAAAGGATGATTACACATGCAACGTATGTGCTCAGGCCCTCTAAAATCTATGGACTAAAGAAAGCCTCATCCTTTCATATTTTTCAATCAGCTTTCTTCTATGGCTTATTTATCCCTTTATATCAATCTCTTACCATAGTTAAAAGATTTCTTGCTGCCAGGAGAGAACTAAACTTCATAATGATTTTGCTGAGTACAGAATTCACACAGAGAATTTGTAATTCTTACTTCAGGAAGGCTTTTGATGTGTAAACTCATTAAAACTTGAACCTATGTTATTAACATTGTCTATTAAAAGTACTCACTGTTTTCTACATTTACACTTTCACAGTGTTGAAAAGCTGGTTGAGGTTGCACGACATCATATTGAGAGTTCTAGCAAAATTCAGTATGAAATTATTTTAGAAGAAACAGATTTCTTCATCAACAATGATGTAAAAGTGTTTCCTGACCCTGCTCCTTCACCACACGTTCCTCATATGGAGACCTCTGGAAGTAGTACTCTGACTATGTCACAACTTACTGCACTTCATAAGCAGTTTCTCCAAGTAGCACCTAAAGGTAAGAAAAAATTTTCCTTTTCATTTCTGAACGACTGTTAGTTTTCTACTTAAAATTTAAAATAATTACTGGGAGCTACTAAACATTACTTACCAATATTGTTAAAGATACTGCTAGGTATAAAAATATAGTGCAGAATATTGAAAATGTGAAATACTAGACTACTTGAAAGCTTTTAATGTCTTTGCTATGGGCTTTATATCCTCAAGACCAAATAACTTATTTTCCTCAAAGTGATTCCTCTGTAATGCTTTTTTAGGAGTGGTATGTATCATTCTTACTTTGGTTAGACATGCCAGTCTTCAACTTAAGAATTCATAGGTCAGTGAACACTGAAACTATATTATTTTAAAAGACATTTTTAAAGAAATTAGTATTTTCATGGAACTATTAAATAGGGTCTAGTATAACTATTAACAATTGTATTCTTAAGTCAATGTACCAGTTGTTTTGGGTGATTTGCAAGTGTTAACTCAGATACATATTTTTTTTCTCTTTGTATGTGTATCTGTTTGTGTGCCTACCCTCTAATTCTGGGAACCTTGGTCTTAGGATGCTTGAAAATACTTTCTTGCAAAACTTACATCTACTGTATAAATGCTACAAAATAATTTAGATAAGGCAGTTTTAAACTGAGATGGAAAGTTGTTAAACATATTTGCAGAGGGTTTAATTTCTACCAGGGTTTCATATTGTAATTATAATTTTAGTATGAGTGCCACCAAGATTATGGAATACAATGTGTAAATATGTACTTTTGGATCCAATTCATCCAGTTTAATGAGGCCACAAAGGCACAATGAAGTTGAATTTAATTCTTTATTCAGAAATTATTTTCATGTATAATTATGCAGCAATTCCAATTACATTTTGAGCATGATTTTCCTTTAGAGGTGTATGTCATCTTATCTATAGATAGTATTGCATATATAATGCCATGTGAAACTAAAAATCTATACATTTGTAATCGTTAGAGGTGAAACACAGATACCAGTTTGACTGTCATTCTGCTTAAAAGGTTTTCTTTTGCTTTTAAGTCATTTATTCATCAAGATACTTAAAACTAAAAAAAAATTGTCTAATACAAACACTAGTGTTCTTGACCTCTAAAGGGATCTAGATGTGCTGCCAAACATCTTAGTCTTCTAATTCTTAATTCACCTGAGCGTATGCTCACTCCTCTGAGCATTCATATCAGAAATCCACACAAATGAGCATGTGAGGCATAGAGTATAGGGCTAATCTGAACAGAATGAATCTACCAATCTTCTATGCTATGTAAATAGCAAAATTCCTAAGGTTGTTCTGAAAATGGAATATTAAGCTTGTTTTCTATGACATTATGGAGATTCCATGAAGAAGAATTTTATCTAGCAATCCAAGAAATAAAAGAGTAACAAAGGAGAAAATATGTTGGAAGAAATAAACGTGAACAGTTTTCTCACAGGATATTTGGTAAATGTCAAAAGGATGTGTTTTCATGATGTGTTTAAAAAATTGCCAAAATTAACGTAAAAAGTGGTAGTGTTAAAATACTTACAAATTGTTTGGTATTTACCAAAGATATCTTACAGAAATTGTAAACAGTTTTGTGTTTCCTAGGAATTTAAAGTATTAAAGAACTGCTGGTTCATCAGACAACTTTATTCTATCCTGCACACTTGGTTCTTCGTGGAAGCAGATCACATTACTCACCATTCTAAGCACCGATGGACAAAAAATACAGCCTGTGCTGGACCTTTCTATGTACTGACACAGTCTTTCATTTCATAAGGAAATATTTTAATTATTCTTTTTTATTCCAAGTGCCATTTCCTAAACTCAGTATTTGGGAGTATTTTCATTCACAAAAGCAGTATTTCTTAATTTCATTAACTCCTTTGATAAATTTGTTAACAGTGCTTTAAAATATTGGCTCAGGAATGTGCTGCTTTTTTATAGGAAGAACTGTGGCAGGTCAAAAAAGAAGCTACTAATACTTTTTTTCCTCCTTTTCTCTTCTACAGTGTCTTTGGATATGTCCTGTTCTTATCAACAAGATTAAACTAACCATCCGTTAGATTTCATCTTCTTTGATTCCCTTTACCATTATCCTTCCTATCACGACATATACTGTCAATACAATTAGCACTTATTTGGAATGGCCTATTTTTGCTCTAATGTTGCTCCAGAGAATGCAGTTTTGGTGATATTTTGCATTAGGAAACAGATCAAGATTCTATCCAAGACCTTTCTTCTCCATCTTGTGATTGAATTGCACAAGAGAATTTTAAATTTTATTCATTTTTTTTACAGTCATCATCTTCATGAACCATTCCAGTTTGAATTATAGAACTGATTAGTCAATAGAAATAAATTCCAGTTAGGTTTAAAAAACTTCAACATCAAATATACAAAAAATGTTTCAAGTAAAACATAGAGGACAGCCTATGATCAAATTATGTTGCTATTTTCATATTGTAGACTTGTTAACTAAGTTTTTCTGGGTTGCTGGATTTGGAATACGCTAGATAGGCTATTAAATAGTTAATCTATTTCAGCTGAAATATTACCTTTTAGTAAAATATTTTGTTGAGTGGAATAGTCAGAATTATATGCTGACCTTGAATAATGTCTATAGATTATGCTTTCTCTTCACAGGCATTTTTGCAGAAAGAATTCAAGACCTTATAGTAGTAATTCTAATGCTCTGACTTTGATGTGAATAGAGTGAAGCCCATCTGTGAGTGCAGAAATAAGTTCATCATCTCTAACTTCACTTTTCTAAGACTATATTTCTTTTTATGTGCTTTTTTCAAAACTTGAAAATAACAAAGGTTAAGTTTGTAGACAGAAGTGTCTTTTGTGAGACAAACAATATAGATAGAAAATGCCTCAGTTTGGGGGATATAAAGCCTTTAATCAGAGACCTAGAATAGATACAATACTTCTTCCCACAGATAATGGAAAATTTGGTAATTCTACTGATTTAGTTTTACTTACACCTCCTATTATATCTCTTACTAAATCATGTATATTATCTAATTTCAGAAATCTCTATTTGCCTATAGTGTTTAAAATCTATGTATCCAATTGCTTTTATGAAACATATTTCACATGTTTCTATGTGTTTTTGTGCATTTGAATGTATATATATCCGAGTATTAAGATTTCAGTGGAGGAACGCTCCCCTCATTGCATCTGTGCAGAAGCAACCATACCTTATTCTGTGTAATTCAAAATTTAAAATCCCAATTCTTGTTAATTAGTAAATATTGGTGATAGAATCGATAATAATTGGTGAATAAATAAAGTGAAAGTCATCTGTAGACGATGATGAGTGTCTCAGTATCTTGGAGGGAATGAATCATATTTTCAAGACTCCTGTCTTTTTTATCTGAGGACAGAAGTATCTCATATTAATAGTTCTTAAACTGCTAAAATTAGATTAATATAATTCAGCCTCATGGTTTCTTTCACTCATTCATCCCTTACAGTGTTGCTATAAGGTGCATAACTTGCCTAGATCATCATCCAAACTTCAAGTCAGGAATTGCTATGGTTTATTTTTCTCAGTGAAAATTGAGGGGAGTAGGAATGTTTAAATGTCTTTGTAAATTTTTATGAAAAGGAGATAAAAATGGAAAATTAACTAACTCTAGTACAGGTTTACAATTGCTTCATATTTTGTCATAGAATCATAGAATCGTTAGGGTTGGAAAGGACCTTAAGATCATCCAGTTGCAACCCCCCACCATGAGCAGGGATGCCTCACACTAAACCATGCCACACAAGGCTCTGTCCAGCCTGGCCTTGAACACTGCCAGGTGTGGAGCATTCACAACCTCCCTGGGCAACCCATTCCAGTGCCTCACCACCATCACAGTAAAGAGCTTCTTCCTTATATCCAACCTAAACTTCCCCTGTTTAAGTTCTAACCCATTACCCCTTGTCCTGTCACTACAGTCCCTAATGAAGAGTCCCTCCCCAGCATCCCTGTAGGCCCCCTTCAGATACTGGAAGGCTGCTATGAGGTCTCCACGCAGCCTTCTCTTCTCCAGGATAAACAGCCCCAACTTTCTCAACCTATCTTCATATGGGAGGTGCTCCAGTCCCCTGATCATCCTCGTGGCCTCCTCTGGACTTGTTCCAACAGTTCCATGTCTCACAAGAACTCTACAAGAGTAGAGGGGCAGGGTCACCTCCTTTGACCTGCTGGTCACGCTCCTTTTAGAATCATTGAATCATAGACTAGTTAGGGTTGGAAAGGACGTTAAGATCAGCAAGTTCCAACCCCCCTGCCATGAGCAGGGACACCTCACACTAAGCCATGTCACCCAAGGCTCTGTCCATCCTTGCCTTGAACACTGCCATGGATGGAACATTCACAACTTCCCTGGGCAACCCATTTCAGTGCCTCACCACCTTTTGATGCAGCCCAGGATACAGTTGGCTTTCTGGGCTGCGAGCACGCACTAAAGCCGGCTCATGTTAAGTTTCTCATCAACCAACACCCCCAAGTCCGTCTCCACAGGGCTGCTCTGAATCTCTGCCCATCTGTCATCTGTGTAAATTTATAATCTGAATCTTTATTCCAGATCCTTGGTTTAGGGAAATTTTTTCATACAGTGCCTCCTGACTCGTTTATCATTAAGGAATACTGTCTTTTATATATCTGTGCCTTTATAACTGAAACATGTTGATTGCTTTTTTTGTCCTTGGGTCCCTTTAGATGTCACAGTCCTGGTTCACAGGGTATACATCTAGTGTATGCTTATGCTGGTGTCATTCTTAAATACTCTCTTTTGAATGCTAATATTTCTGTTTTCAGTTTCAGTAGTGTTCACAATCTTAATTTCCTCATTCAGGTGTTTTGTTTTTTTTTATATTTATTTATTATGTTTCTGCACTGCTTATGTAAATATAAGTGCTTGTCTATGTCACCTTGTGCATCACAGAATGATACTTAAAAAAAAAAAAGAGAAAGAAAACCAATTCTACTTTATGTAGCTTTTTCTACATTAGTTCTCCTTTTGATTTCACTGATGACAAAATTTTATGTGAAAATGAGGTCTCTTCACAAGTAGTGCAGGCTGTCTTCGTTTTATATTCTGTGTTCTTTCACTCGTGCCATTGTAACAAATCACAACTTTTCCTCCTACTAGTCCATCTCCTGTTTCTTTCCATGTTTGTTCGTCTCAGTTAAAAAAAAAAAAAAAAACAACAAAAAAAGCAACCCTCCCCCCCCAAAAAAAAAACCAAAACAAACCAAAACCCAAACACCAAACCAAACCAAACCAAAAAAAAAACATATCATCTTACCCCTGTGTTTTGTCTGCATAGCTAGGGTGCAGTGGATGCTGTGTGTGTGGTCTGGAACTGAGATTAGGCTGATTTACGCATGTTGGCCATAGAGTGGATAAAACCTCGTCATCTTTCTGTTTATTCCTCAGCATGAGTGTTATAAGGATCTTTCTCCTGTATCTTGGAGCAGATCTGAAAGAAATTCATAAGACCTCCGTAACTCTAGCCCACTGACAGACTTGGTTCAAATTTGCCATTCTAAAATTATCAGTGATGGAGAACTGGCAGACAGACAAATTGATTTAGACATACACAGGCAACATAACTGCATAACCTTAATTACTTAGGTAAGCATGGTAAGAGTATGCTTCAGAGAGCATTTGTAATGAGTATAATCATAGTTTAGATGGATTAAAGAGATGATCTGATTCATGACTCTTAGCTGTGTATTTACTGTTTTCACACACTGTAAGATATGCTGTCTTTCTAAAGGTGCATACAACTGATCACTTATTTTATACATTTTTACACACAACGTCCCAAACGTCTTTTTCTAAGGTTTAAATCCTTGGTTTTTGAAATGAAAAAATTCAAAACTTGAAAAAGGTGGTGTCATTGGAGGTCCATTTTACAGGGAAACTCATCTTTGACAACGGCTCATAGAATCTGCTCCAATCCCCTTTTTTCTAATCATCAGCAAATTTCTACAGGTGCCTATACACCTCAAGAAGCAGTGATCACTACAGAGGTGTTACAGTGATTTTTTTTTCCCTTTCACCCTCTGACTTCTGCAGTTGCAGATCCGTTAATCTTACCCCTCCACTCACCCTTTTTCACCTTCTCTTGCAGTTTTCTGGCTGGTATTAGAGAAGATTTTAATGTTTACCACATGTTAAGAATGCTTCTCCTTCTCTCTTTTTGGTCCTGGGTATGGTACTTGGGCATGTGTCAGGAAAAGCTTCTGTAGTCTAGTTGTTTCTGCTGTCCATGTGAATTACAGCTGCTACTTCAAATTTAAAGTTGTTTAGAAGAATCTCTCATAATGGCAATGTATTTAAACTGCATATTCTTAACAATTTTTAATAATGGCCTTTCAGGATGTTCAGAATAGAATGGGGCAGGCAAACTGTCATTTTTATGACAAGGGGAACAAATAGTTCTCTCATTGTCTAATGCATATATGAAAATTTTACCTCTTTTGAAAAATAGAAAAGGGTGTGGTATAAAGACCCTTTCTTAAGACCTTATAATGCATCAGAAATGACATTTCTTTTGGTGATTAGCTGAATGTAGCTAATTTTGTCTCTTCATGTATGCGTTACAAGGAGGGGTGTGAGTCAGATTGTTTTTAGGTCATTTGCTCAGTGCTTTTCTTCTGCTATTTCCCTATCAATAGGTTTCTTGTTGTATTGCCTTAGTCGTGCATGGAATTTGTCTTAGTTATTTGACTGCTTTCTTTGCAAAGTATACTTTATGGCAACGGTATACAAAAAGAACCATCAAATTACTTTCAAAACTAGAAAATTCATTAGTTCTAGGGATAGAATTTAAAAAAAAAAGTCTGCATATGGCATTTACTCCTACAAAAAAACAAGAATGACCATCTTGAGAACAATTTGTGAAATTAATGTTGAGAACAATCTCAATACTTTGAGAATGTTTCAAATTTGAAGGACAAAATGTGAAGCTTCTCAAAACATTAATAAAATCATTCTGTGGAGATATATATAGATACATATATACATATAAATGTATTTTAAGAAGAGCCAGTCAGCTACCTATGCCATAGAACATCTTAATGCATTTTATGACTTGTATAGGATTATGTATTTATGGACTTGCTCCAAGTTAACTTTTCTGTTAATGTCAGGTGTTGTGGGCATTGTAACAGGTTTGTGACTTCAGTAATATGTTCTGCATTCTGCCTGAAAGACCATTCTGAATTCTACTCTGTCACTGTTTTCCTCTGTTTCTAAAATGGTATTGATGCTGCTGCAGTTTACTGGTTGCATATTCTGACAAACTTCTGGTACTCAAAAGGAAATTGGAATCAAAACTGACCATTTCTTACAAGGGTCCTAGGTAGCCTCCAAGTGATTTAAGAGTAGATCTCAGATTTCCCTGTTCTCTTGCTGTTTATTGCAAGTCACAGTCTAGTCCCAAATTAACAGAATAAATGTAGATGAAAAAAGAAAACAAAACAACCAAAAAATTAATAATTTACTAAATAAAACCTATTTTATATTTAGTTGTTTCTTTTTAAATTATAGCCATAAAAGCACTGAAGCAATTCAAAAGAAAGAGTAATTCTTCTAGCAAGAGAGAAATTGGTGACAGAGGGAAAGAGAAGAAAGATTTGGAACATCAGAGAACAAAGAGGAATCGCCACTTTCCAAAAATATGGCTAACAAAATACTCCTGGTTAAAATATGATGGTGAAAGGGGAATAATGTTTTGTGCACCATGTCGTAAGCATAATGTAGATTTGGGAGAAAACATTCATAATTTTTGTTCTGGCACTGATGATTTCAAGCTGGAATTTATAAATACACACCAGAGTAGTGAAGCTCATGCCTGGGCTACCTGCATGGAAGCTGCCACTACTGCTTCACCGCATACAGCTTCTACTGAGCACATGTTGAAGAGCATGAACTCCATAATATTAGGTAGAGTAGAAAATATTTTTAGAACATGCCATGCTATTGCTAAATCTGGTCGTCCCTTTGCAGACCTTGACTGGATGTGCAAACTAGATGATATGAAAGGAGTGGATATTGGTTCTGTATTTAGAAATGAGAAGTCAGCAAGAATGTTTATACATTTTATTGCTGAAGTGGAAAGAAGAGCTTTGAAAG